ACATTTGAGAAGATAAAAGCAGCATAGAGCTCCCAGGTTTAGACTACTGGAATTCCATATTTATCAATAAATAAATAAATTGGAAAGAAAACTTCCCCCTGCCCCCAACCTGTCGGCCGAGCGGACAGCACGCTGGACTTGTGATCCTGTGGTCCTGGGTTCGATCCCAGGCGCCGGCGAGAAACAATGGGCAAAGTTTCTTTCACCCTGAATGCCCCTGTTACCTAGCAGTAAATAGGTACCTGGGTGTTAGTCAGCTGTCACGGGCTGCTTCCTGGGGGTGGAGGCCTGGTCGAGGACCGGGCCGCGGGGACACTAAAGCCCTGAAATCATCTCAAGATAACCTCAAGATAACCTGGAGCCTAGGACCAAGCGGACTGTGGGGCCTGCGGGCCGCTCCAAGCAACAGCCTGTTGGACCAAACTCTCACAAAATTAAGTCTGGCCAAAGGCCGAGCTTGGAAAGTGGAAGAACTCTCGAAACTCCGCTCTTGGTAAATTCCAGGGGAAGACAATACTACGGGCGGAGAAGAACGTCTTTTTATCTCTTATCTTGAGGTTATCTTGAGATGATTTCGGGGCTTTAGTGTCCCCGCGGCCCGGTCCTCGACCAGGCCTCCACCCCCAGGAAGCAGCCCGTGACAGCTGACTAACACCCAGGTACCTATTTACTGCTAGGTAACAGGGGCATTCAGGGTGAAAGAAACTTTGCCCATTTGTTTCTGCCTCGTGCTCTTGACTCTAAGACTTCAGGGTTCATAACAGCTGTCAGGTGAAGTATCTAGTCAAACTGCAAGCAAGAGCTGTTATCCTGCCTCAGCTTATCTGAAGCATGCCTTACTTTATTGTTTGTATTGGGAACTATCTTTACTTAAATCTAAGTAACAGGCACATTCTCATCTCTCTATCTCTCTCTCTCTCTCTCTCTCTCTCTCTCTCTCTCTCTCTCTCTCTCTCTCTCGATCTCTCTCTCTCTCTCTCTCTCTCTCTCTCTCTCTCTCTCTCTCTCGCTCTCTCTCTCTCTCTCTCTCTCTCTCTCTCTCCTCTCTCTCTCTCTCTCTCTCTCTCTCTCCTCTCTCTCTCTCTCTCTCTCTCTCTCTCTCTCTCTCTCTCTCTCTCTCTCTCTCTCTCTCTCTCTCTCTCTCTCTCTCTCTCTCTCTCTCTCTCTCTCTCTCTCTCTCGCTCTCTCTCTCTCTCTCTCTCTTCTCTCTCTCTCTCTCTCTCTCTCTCTCTCTCTCTCTCTCTCTCTCTCTCTCTCTCTCTCTCTCTCTCTCTCTCTCTCTCTCTCTCTCTCTCTCTCTCTCTCTCTCTTCTCTCTCTCTCTCTCTCTCTCTCTCTCTTCTCTCTCTCTCTCTCTCTCTCTCTCTCTCTCTCTCTCTCTCTCTCTCTCTCTCTCTCTCTCTCTCTCTCTCTCTCTCTCTCTCTCTCTCTCTCTCTCTCTCTCTCTCTCTCTCTCTCTCTCTTCTCTCTCTCTCTCTCTCTCTCTCTCTCTCTCTCTCTCTCTCTCTCTTCTCTCTCTCTCTCTCTCTCTCTCTCTCTCTCTCTCTCTCTCTCTCTCTCTCTCTCTCTCTCTCTCTCTCTCTCTCTCTCTCTCTCTCTCTCTCCTCTCTCTTCTCTCTCTCTCTCTCTCTCTCTCTCTCTCTCTCTCTCTCTCTCTCTTCTCTCTCTCTCTCTCTCTCTCTCTCTCTCTCTCTCTCTCTCTCTCTCTCTCTCTCTCTCTCTCTCTCTCTCTCTCTCTCCTCTCTCTCTCTCTCTCTCTCTCTCCCTCTCTCTCTCTCTCTCTCCCCCCCCCCCCCCCCCCCCCCCTTTCCCAGAATGGGAACAGAAATTAAATTAGCATTTTTCTTCTATAAATGTTAGGTCGGATTTAATACACCATATTATAAACTTGATAACGGAATACATATTGTTATATATATATATATATATATATATATATATATATATATATATATATATATATATATATATATATATATATATATATATATATAGACAGTGACAGACCACGGAGGAAGAATTGAAACAGGAATTTCCTTAAGTACTTTCGTATTTAATAATACATCTTCCCCTTTGAAGATGTATTATTAAATACGAAAGTACTTAAGGAAATTGCTGTTTCAATTCCTCCTCCGTGGTCTGTCACTGTCACATGTTTCATCACGTGTTAATTTTCGTGATTAATATGTAGTTCTCAGTAAACATTGTGTCACATGGGCCGTTGTCAGTGTTACATTACAGTGGGTATAGTGAAGGCTTTGTCTCCAAGACATTGGCAGCCCCAGGAAGTTGGAGTTGCCTCAGAGAAAGTGGTGGTGTCGACGGTGGTAATGGTAGTTGTGGTGTGTGTGTGTGTGTGTGTGTGTGTGTGTGTGTGTGTGTGTGTGGGGGGGGGGTGTGTGTGTGTGTGTGTGTGTGGCGGGTGTGTGTGTGTGTGTGTGTGTGTGGCGGGTGTGTGTGTGTGTGTGTGTGTGTGGCGGGTGTGTGTGTGTGTTGTGTGTGTGTGTGTGTGTGTGTGTGTGTGTGTGTGTGTGTGTGTGTGGCGGGCGTGTGTGTGTGTGTGTGTGTGTGTGTGTGTGTGTGTGTGTGTGTGGCGGGTGTGTGTGTGTGTGGGGGAGGGGGGGGTGCCACACTGCTCTCGCCCGAACCCTTCACTTGCATCTAAAGGATCTTCAGGCCACACGTTTTTTTTCCGTAATTGGTGTGTGCACACACAACTCTGACGCCTGACTTGGGCGCGGGAGATTGCTGAGGGTATACGCAAGGTTGAAGGTGGGTCTTGTTGATTCCGTATAATGTACTCTCGTCCGGAATAAAGGGTTGGGGGTTTTGGTGGTGTTAGTGAGTTACTGTGTGGAGACCCCCTCTCCAGGTAAACTCCAGGTGTCGCCATTTTGGCTTTGTATTCGTTTTGTATTCGTTGCAACATAGTAATGTGCATACAGAAGCTGCACGATGATGAGTGCCGGCACGTACAGCTGGTATTCACCTAGTTGTGTTTGCGGGGGTTGAGCTTTGCTCTTTCGGCCCGCCTCTCAACTGTCAATCAACTGTTTACTAACTACACTAACTACTTTTTTTTCACATCACACACACACACACACACACACACACACACACACACACACACACACACACACACACACACACACACACACACACACACACCAGGAAGCAGCCCGTGACAGCTGACTAACTCCCAGGTACCTATTTACTGCTAGGTAACAGGGTCCTTGACAACTACTTGCCACATAGTTCTTCCAGAGTCAATGTCAGAGTCAACTCCCTCCCCCACCTAGGGGCCTCCCACTGAATGGGATAGACCTTATCCTGCGTCCCACTGGATGGGGATAGATCCTCTCCTGTGCCCCGCTGGATGGGATGGACTGTCTCTTGCGCATCCTATGTCCATGTTTACTTGGCTTTGTGTTCTGCCACTCCAGTACAGGACATGTTTGGTGTCCCCCCATCCCCTACTCCCCACCCAAGTCTTCATGCCCCCCCCCCTACTCCAACCGCCCTATACTGCCGTCCAAGAGGGTATACAACTCTCACACTGAAGATTCGAGTCCTTGCATGGCTCAACGGAGCTTGTACTATAGTTTACAACTTACAACCTCTCAACCTACCTTTATCTTGCTAAATATTTCATTCTTGTTTACTTATCAGTGCCCTGAAGGTAAGCCACATTTTGTTTTCCCAATATCATATGACCTTTCATACTACGGTGTTAGGCCTATGGGGTGCTACCATGTGCCATGTGTTTGGGCTATAGGGTGCTACTGTGTGTGTGTTAATAATGGTGACGGTGTGCTGGGTATAGAGGAATGTCGGCCTACCAGTCACAGCGAGAGCTTCCTTTTGTGAAGCCTTTTGCGACCCTTATAAAGGCTTCTCTTCCCCCTGCCGGTGTTTTCTGTCCAAGTAGACGCCTGGGAGGAAGAAGACACTCACCCTCGGCAAAATGTGGGTGCTGGAGGCCTTTTACATCTAGTGGAGGCCTCTACTGGAAGTTTAGAGGTGTGGAGGCCACCAACACCACCTCAACACCGGATGGGTTCCTCTTGATGATCACTGGCGCCGATGACACCCTAACTGTCTGGAGATGATAGCGTTTCAACAGATGAATTGTGTCGGTGCTAATAGTTGATGATTGATGAAGATTAAGCCACCCAAGAGGTGGCACGGGCATGAATAGCCCGTAAGTGGTGGCCCTTTCGAGCCATTACCAGTATCAAAAGATGATACTGGAGATCTGTGGAGGCGCAACTGCACCCTGCGTGACGGGAGATGTCTCCTGGACCAAGTGTGGCGTGCTAATGTATACTCACTGATGCTTTGATAAGCTGGCAATGGTTGGTTTACCGCGTGGGAGGCAGTAATGAGAAATGTGTGCGGGTGGGTGGGTGGTGGTGGTGGTGGTGAAGGTCGGGTATAAGGTGTGAGCGAGCCCTCATGTTTAAGGCAACGCCACTTATCACAGGTCCTATAAGGTTGAAGCTATTCATCGCTAACCCCCCTTGCCGCTGCGCCTTCCTCCAGCTCTATATGTGTGCACGTTTTTCATTGTGACGGCAGCCTGCACTCTCTTCTCTCAACCTACGAAGGTCTACTCGTAACTTGACGTTTCTCTTCAACACGGCAGTAGTCAAGTTCAAGGACGTTTATTGTGACAATGAAATACATCTCTAAGGAATAGAGTAGCTTAGGTTAGTTCTATCCCCCCAAGGCAGTAGTCTACCAGTGGTGGGCCGTGTCCTGGGGTAAACTTCTGATAACCAGTGGTGTACACTCTTCCCCTTCATACCCTGCTCACACACATTGCAAATCTCTTCCTTCATTAACTGGGGTATTTCATCATGTTTTCTATATAGTACAAACCGTACATCAAAATATGTTAGCTGAACCAATTTTGACACAGTATTAGTTTTAGGAAGTAATCAGTTGTAGAGTAACGTAAGTAACTTGTATAACGTAAGTAACGTAAGTATTGTGTTGCAGGTGTACCGTAGTGTTGCTCAACTCGCGCAAGAACCGTCAACACCACCTGCAGAATGCCTCCCGCAAGACCATCACTTGCGTGGCGTTCTCTCCATGTGGGCGCTACCTGGCCACGGGGGAGTGTGGCCACCAGCCCTCTGTCAGGGTGTGGGACGTCTCCGACAGGTCCCAGGTGGCAGAGTTCCAGGGCCACAAGTACGGCATCTCCTGCGTGGTGAGTACTACTTACTACTCTGCTCAAACCCCATATAAGGGAAAGTACAAAGGGCTCGGGGAGTGGAAGAACTCCCAGAGCCCTCTGCAGGTATGCACCAGGTATCCCAGGGGTTACATTTATGTATCCATGTGTTTTGTTAGACTTTCTACAAGCTGTGTATTCTTGTATGCTACATGAAAACGTGGGAATAATGTATTCAGCGCAAGGTGAGATAATTATGAGGAGAAACGTGCTAAGCCAGTATGCTTTTGCTGTGAGTACTGAGTAAGTGACTACCGAGCAATACTCAAGACGGGACAATACCAGTGATTTAAATAGTGTTAGCATTGCAGTGGGGGTCTCTGGATTTGAAACGCTGTCGTTTCTCCATTTTTTGATAACGCCTCTAAAGGCTACCTTATTATCCGGGGTGTGATTCATTCGTCAGGCTGGAACAGCGGCGTCTAACAGCCTAGTAGCCCAGACCACCAACTATGAGACCAGGCCGCTGGGACATTGATTCCCGGACCCAACACTAGGTAAGCTAATTAGCCCTCGAACACACGCCATCACGGCTCTATGTCAAGAATACACCTTCCCACCTCCTCCTCCTCTCTCACATTGTTGTCTAGATGTTCCATTCCTTGTGATCTAGCCGGGTATTGACCAAGGACAATGTTGTGTGAGAGGCATGTTGTGTGGTGGCTGATGCCAGGTGCGGCCCCACGTTCTCCCCTTCTCATAGGGGCGTCGCCTTGCTGGCCGCTCATGGTTGTGGTTACAGACGTGACCCTGCATATCCACCACGCCCGCAGGTGGCGGGCACTGATCACACACCTGGGGTAGAGGTTCCTTCCTTCTGTAAGATTGGTTAGTCACTCTCCTGCTGGGGTGATGGTGTGGGAGGACAAGGTCACGGTGGTGGTTGTTGCTGGGGTGATGGTGTGGGAGGACAAGGTTATATGTTTTCCTTGGCACTGGATTTGTTGTTTGGTGACTGGCTTACAAAGGTTTTATAAAGACCATTGTAGAGCAATGGTCTTCCTTCCTGCAGGTCGGCGTTCCATCCCCGACCGTCCAAGTGGTTGGGCACCATTCCTTTTCCCCGTCCCATCCCAAATCCTTCTCCAGACCCTTTCCAAGTGCTATTTAGTCATCATGCTTGGCGCTTTCCCCCTGATAGTTCCCTCCCTTTCAAGTCTTGGCAAAAGTCATAGCATAACAGTACCATGATCAAATAACAGTACCAAAATAAATGCTATGGAAACATATGCGCAAGTCATATCGTACTCGTGGTTCGCTAACGGATTTGAAATCCTGCCTAACCCAAACTAGACCAAACCAGACAAACCCAACCCAACTCAGCAAGCCAGGCCTACTAAGCCGAACCTAACTGTAGATATGGTTTTGTCAATCAAAAAATGAGCTTTGTCTGTCTTTGTGTACAATTTGATCATACCCCTCTGGATGTGTGAGAGGAAGAACAGGAATGTAACCAAAGTAACCGGGTTACACCCCCCCTCCCCCACGACGAGGGGGGAGGGTGATTTCAATGTGTTGGCGGTGATTTCAATGCTATAACAAGACTGATCTCATATCAGTGACTCCTGGAGACTATTGCATCCCACTGTCAGGCTCTTAACACGCATCCCAGGCTGTATAAACTAGCTTCATGAACGTCATTAGTGTTCTCGTTGTGACACCCAGAATGCTTGTTCATCCATGCTGGGGACCGATTTGAACGTTTCCCCTGTTCATTCTTGCAAGAACAAGGGGAAAACGTATCAAAGTGGACCCCTCCCCACCCCATCCTCCCGTGTAATCACTGTTCATAAGAACAAAGGTAAATGCAGAAGGCCTATTGGTCCATACGAGGCAGCTCCTATCTATAACCTCCAAATCCCACTCATATACATGTCCAACCCACCCTTGAAACAATCATAAGAACTTAAACAATCATAAGAACCAAAAACAATCATAAGAACCTTGATATAAATACCTTGACATAAATACCTTGATATGGTATTCACCAAGACTAATGCTCGAATACCAGGGTTTACGCTATGGTTGCACCAGTGACATTTGTTTAGTAGGTCTGATGGGTTTAGTGCAGAATATCATGTACATCAGATTATTAGTATATCTACAGCTTTCACTTTATTTATACTTACATAATTCAGTGTGCTCTAATACATCTTTAGCAACTGCAGTACTTCATATATGCATATTTATATATATACATTATATGCGGAAAATCCACAGAGAAATATGAAATGAGGTGAACGTTTCGGCTCTGTTAAAGCCTGTTAAAGGCTTTAACAGAGCCGAAACGTTCACCTCATTTCATATTTCTCTGTGGATTTTCCGCATAAAATGATCAGTGTTTTGTGATCGTCATTGCATATACATTATATATATATTCCTTTTCCCCAGGCATTTTCTCCAACCCAGAAATATGTTGTTTCGGTTGGGTCTCAGCACGACATGATTGTTAATGTCTGGGACTGGCGAGGAGGGATTAAAGTTGCTTCCAACAAGTTTTCCAGCAAAGTAAAGGCCATCAGCTTCGCTGAAAATGGCTCTTATTTCGTCACTGTTGGCAATCGTCATGTCAAGTTTTGGTACCTAGAAGTTGCACGAGGTTCCAAGGTGAGAATTGTTTTTATCAAGCTTAAAATGCTAAGATACTGAATTGTATTTTGTAATTATATAATCTTAGATATTAATATTTTATTTTATTTTTTTAAACACACAATTACAGTACTGTACCTGTAAAATTATACCTGGTATTAGTTGTGTAATATATATACCTTGCACTAGATATGGTATAAAATATCCATAAAAGTTGACACATATACCTGGCAGTAGATATGGCATAAATTATACATAGCAAAAGATAGATATAATGTTTTATACCTGGTAGCATGCACAGAATATGTAATAATTTCCAGTATTAATAAATAATGTACTGTATTTTCATTCTAGTTTAAGGAGCCAGTGCCTCTTACTGGTCGATCTGCTATTTTGGGAGAGCAGAGGAATAATTATTTCTGTGATGTTGCCTGTGGTCGAGGAGACATGGGAGATTCTACGTTTGCCATTACTAAGTCAGGCCTTCTCTGTGAATTTAACAACAGACGATTGTTGGACAAATGGGTGGAGCTTCGAGTGAGTATATTCCGTATAGGACAGAAGTTTAAATTCCTTCTATTTACTGTATTTAAGTAAAAGTGGTGTGTGTGTGTGTGTGTTCTATTTTCAAAATTATTGAATTAATAATATTAGTTCGAAAGAATTGTGAAACCTTAATTAAAATAATTTTGTACAAGTTGATTTAAACTTGCACACTTTTATTTGGTGCAAATGTAACTATTTTTATTTATCTAGAATTGATTTGTATTTATGTAAATATTTTCAGACAACAAGTGCCAATTGCGTGGTAGCTGGCGAGGGCTACATATATGTAGGATGTGCTGAAGGTATTATTCGTTGCTTTAGCCCATTCAACCTGCAGTTTGTCACCACTCTGCCACGAACTCATTACCTCGGTGTGGATGTATCGAAGGGCTTGAGCATCAGGTAAGACCCCCATGTCATATTAGTCGCTTCCTCTTTGTTTGCCTTAATTGAAAGTCTTATATCTAGCAATTCATATTGTGTACAGTTTACTTTCTTATTTTAAATTAATATTGTGTTTAATTATTTTATTAAGTGTAGTTTACTGGATGACAAAGGGGGACAGTTTTGTACTTGTTTGTACCTGTATACAATATGATAAAATGAAAGGCAACAAATGAAGGTGCTTGCTTGTTGTGTGGTTAAAGTTTGACTGTATCCTTAGTAAATTTAGCATAATTTAGTTACAGGAGAATGATTCATACATAGAGCATTAATACCATATTATCATGAACAATGATGTGAATAACAAAGTACTGTACTCACATTTTGTAATAGCATGAAGCTTTATATTATCAGAAATAATTTTCCTGCAGTATTTATGTGAATTATTTTTTTTCTGTTTGATGTGATATTAAGTGTTTTGTTTAAGTCATTAAATATAATTTTGATTACCAAATTATTTGTAGTGGATTTGAAGACATATTTGTTAAAATAAGTATAATTAATGTTAATTTTATACTGTACTAACATAAAAGTTGTAACTAATAATGTCCTAATTGAAGAGGAATGTAGTTTAACATAGTCATAAGACTGACCCCAATCTTTTTGTACAGCCACATGGCCACTCACCCCAATAATGCCAAGTACCCTGACACCATTGCCATAGCTTTTGATGAGAGCAACCACAAAGTGACGGCAGTGTATAACGACCACTCTATGTATGTGTGGGACGTCAAGGACATTAAGAGGGTATGTATTTTGTGCTATTGTTTTTCTTTCCCAAAGTAGTCCTAACTTTTGTCTTGTATCCCAAGCAAATTGAGCTGCGTGAGTACTTGGAGCATTTAATAAATGTTCTTTTACAAAAATCTTTGAAGATTTTAGCGTAAAAGTTGTGCTACATTATACCTTATGAACCCTAAAGCAAATGTCTCTTGTTTCTGGCAAGTTGCAGGCTGCAGTAGGGTCAATTTGATGCACTAAGTGTTTTGCTTCAGATACACCATGGTTGGCTTACCAATGTACAGTACTTCATTTTCTAAATAAAGCCAGCGGCTCCTTAATCTTTTAATTCTGCAATTTGGAAAATATATATAATGTTCTTCAGAATTTGTAGATTCAATACAAAAGTTGATCATTATCATCATATGTGCAGAGCAGTGCAATGGTCAAGGATATAAGTATTCGTATTCCAGGGACCTGCCCGAAATGCTACGCATACTAGTGGCTGTACAAGAATGTAACAACTCTTGTATATATCTCTTGTAAAAATAAGTAAACATTGTTTTGTTGGGAGAGTTTACATGCATTTTTTTGGTTTTACGCATTTCTTTTTTACGTTTGTGGTGAAGAGAGAGATTGAGTTTAGAGAGAGTGACTGAGTGATTGGGTGATTGAACTGTAACTTCCTCTTGGTAGTTTTTTTTGGAGGGGGTGGTGGATTTTTTGAGTGATTGTTGTATCGAAAAGAATTGAAAAATTGCTGTGGTGTGGAACAGGAATCTTTCTCTGGGGCATCCTTATGTAACTGATCAATATCCAGTTCTTTAAATCGGTTTACAAATTTGAAAAATATTTAATATAAACGTTGTTTTTTACAGGTTGGAAAAACCCACTCGTATTTATACCACTCTGCCTGCATTTGGGGTGTGGAGACATACCCTTCCCAGGGTGAAAGCATTAAAGGAGTGATGCCTCCTGGCTCTTTCATCACCTGTTCCTCTGATGACACCATACGTGTTTGGAATATTGATCCTGCCATGTCCTCGAATACGTTATACAAGAGGAATATATACAGCAGTGTAAGTAGAGCATATTTTGTTATCTCATGTTTTATTTTTTATAATGCGAGTTCTAGCATACTCGACACTTGCTTCTAATATGAAAAGTGATCACATTCATTTGGAAATAATATATGCCATATGTCATGCGTTATGCTATTGTGGAGAATGGAAAATGGAACATGAAGGAGGAACTCTTATTTCTAAAGAAGATCTATGAGCGGCACCCAAAGTTATATACCTGGACGAACGGAAAAATTTACAAGGACTGAACAGAAATTTCAAGAGAGCTAGGGATGAAGAAAAGAAAGGATGTAGCCAATACATAAACCTAGCCCCATATACTAGAAACATAACCAAGCCTAAAACTACTGAGTAACTTGTATTTCAAGAATAAAATACTGTAACGAGATTAAAGGCAGACAACCGCTTAATGGAGATCGGTTGAGATGTGTGACAAACTAAAATGAGATACCAAATGCAGAGTTTGTATATTAGAGATTGGCAGTTTTCTGCATCAAACTCGCCTTGGCCTTTACAACAAATCGTGTAACATCTAAATATATCCAGGGTACATGTGAGTAATAGGTTTATGGATCTAGTGGACAAAGCAGCTGGCCCAGATGGGGTACCAATTTTGATTTTGAGAAAATGCTCTCAGAGAGCTCAGCTGTTCACTACAGAAATCCTTTAAGCATCTTTACAAGTAGAAAAGCTAGTAGATGTTTAAAAATGCCAAATATCTTCCTAATGTATGAAAAAGGTTGAAGAAGACGACACATTAAACAGCAGACTTGTAAACTATTTACTGGTTAACTAGTAAAATAGAACAATCACTTAGAAAACAGTCAAATTGAAATTGGAAGAATGTCAAGAAGGGATTGCATAATATCAGGCAGTTTGGATTCAAAATAGGAAAATTGTGTGCGCCAAATTTACTGAGCTTTCTCAATAGTCACTGAGCTAATGCAAGACTTGTGTGTGGACTGTAGCTATTTAAACTGAAAAAAAGGCTTTTGACCGCTACATCAAAAATTATTTTAAAGTTTTAGTACATATTAATAATACAAAAATGTTTAGAGGGTTCAAATAAACTGGATGAGTGAAATTAGTTGTCTCGTAGAGTTAGATACTAGTGCCAGTAATGTTCATTGTGCACATGAACGAATTTCTTGAGGGGGCTACAAAGTTGTGTGTATATGTAGACAGATGATGCAAATATACTACTAGGAATAAGAGAGATACAAAAGACTGCTGCTATTCTGAACAACGTAGAAAGAATAGGGGCAACGAGGGAAAAATGGTTAATTAGATAAATGTAGTTAATCCCCATGTAATGGCATTCAGAATAATTGGAAATTGACCACATGTAGCTTATAGATTACTATAATTGTAGATTATATGTAGATATGTAGCTTATAGATTACTGCATATGTCAAAACACTAAACAATTGGGTTAAGGGGGACCTGCAAGTGATCATTATAAGTAAACTATCACCAGAGAATCACAACAAACACACAGTTTAAAAACATGGTGGCAAATTTCTCCCAAAACAATAGGAGCTATGAGAAAATTCTAGAGTTTCTTTAATATTCCTAAACTAGAAGTTAGAAAGATGAGAGAAGACAGGATCACCGCACATGCGATCAGGAGCACTAAAGAATAATTACGAGGAGGAATTCATTACACGTGTAGCATCTAGAATCAAGTGATAGATGGATTCTTGTGCCAAAACTACTGGCTAAAATTATATATTGAAAAGTATATAAAAGTGGGACACCATGAGAATAGCTCTCATCCTGTAACTTAAATTAATATAATTGTAATAAAATAATTATACATAGCTTGATAATACACTACAGTACATAGAATTAAAATTACGCAGGTAATATTTGCAGTATAATTCACTTATAATTCTGAACATATTTTAATGAATGGTTTTAAGACTTTCTGTAGAAAATTAAACATCAGTTCACCAGACCACACACTGGAAGGTGAAGGGACGACGACGTTTCGGTCTGTTCTGGACCATTCACAATCGACTTGAGAATGGTCCAGGACGGACCGAAACGTCGTCGTCCCTTCACCTTCTAGTGTGTGGTCTGGTCAACATACTTTAGCCGCGTTATTGTGACTCATCGCCTTCATAAACATCAGTTCACTATTCTTTATTGATGAGTAGCTCAGTTGTGTATTGTAAAGGTAGGTTGTTTCTAGTTAGGCTTATTTCATTCAGTTGAAGACAAGCTAAACATAGCTTTTGAGCTTATAATAAGTTTGCATTTGAAAATAAAAAAATGAATAATATTTTTACTTTGTAATTATAACAAAAGAATCTCTCTCTTGCTTGCATTGCTTTTGCAATTTCCAGGCTCCTGAAGTGGTAATTTATTCTTATGCTTTATTGCTGTTGTTTAATGACAAACATTTTTATTTCCTTTTTCTCATAAGAAAAATGACAATATAAGTGAAAATAAACTTAGTGAGAAATACAGTACAATATTAATATAAAATAAATTAGAGAGAGGTAGGCCATATTGGATTTAATGATAATGTTAGCCTAAAGCATTTATGGTTGTTACCCTCTCCCCCCCCTCCTCCTCCCCCACCAACACACACACACACACAAATGGCTCAGGATAAGTCAATTATATAGTGAAGAATTAATTTTTAGCAGAAATAGACCAAATTGAGAATACTACTTGTTGTGACAAAAATTGTGACAAAAATTATTTTTGTCACAAAATAGTTAAATGTATGTATTTAATAGTTATCATTGACTATACCAGTACAGTACCATAAACCTATACAGTACAACCTCGATTTAACGAACTGTATGGAACCATACCTAATTCATCCTGGGGTGTGTAACAAAATAGGAGGCCAGTCGAAGACTGGGCCGCGGGACGCTAAGCCCTGAAATCATCTCGAGATAACTAATTACCTCTCAAGACTGGGTCTACTACCTTCAGCAATTACATTATGTATTATGATAAAAGGAATGTTGTTCTTATTATTTGATCCATGTAGTCCCCAAAATGGTAAATTTTAGAACTTTCTTAGATAATTTTATAAAGAAATCAGAATAGCTGTACAAATATTTCTGCACACATACCTTTGAACCAGAGATGTTCTCAGTAGTCTAAAATTGCTGTTGCTGCCTAGTAAGTTTTTCAAAACTAATTTTCTTTCTGGGTGGGCGCCCTCAGCAGCTCTCAGAGCTAAGCTGGCCTAACCAAGCCTTGGAAAGATGCACTAGGTCTCTCTGAGACTCACCCTAGCCTACCTGAGGGTACCATAATTTTTTGAGAGAGAATGCCAATGTGGCAATGTGAAGTTAATAACAAATCTTAACTATTGATTTGGGTTTGATCATAGGACAGTGATTAAATCTATTTTCTATATAATTTTATGAATTTTTTCATTTGCTTCACTCAACCCTTCTTGGGTCCAAGAAATACATCCTTTACCCCAGTCCCCGCCATCTTGAATATTGTGCTGTGTATCAATCCTTAGTCCTAGAATATATCCGGTTTTCATTTAAGAGATTTTTGACAAAAGTTTGTGCTGTTAGAATGTATGCACTGTATCAGAGAATGCCTCCTTGTATAAAACTGGGAATTGATTGCAGTTGAAAATACCATACTGTATTCAGAAAGATTTAAAATGTTAACATTTTCTCCCAGTAGATATTTGTATTCATGCATTTAGAATAGAGTACAGTATTTGCAGAAATATCTTGATAAGCTGCTGTATGTTTCACTCTGCTTACAATTTTAAAAATTGTATGGGGAATTCTCTATAGATACAATCTTTCTTTATTGTTTGTACACTCAATATAGTAGACTTCTGTTTAACATGAGTTTGCATAGCAAATTTCACATGCATTGTTTGCTCTTGTTGAGCGTGTGCCACAAGTGTGACTATTAATTTTACAAATAGTCTTGTTAAGGAATTTAAAGGAAGAGAGAAAATGGAGAAGTCTATCTCAAGCCTCCACCAAGGAACCAGCTCACTGTTAGACAAAATACCTCATACCCCAACACACCCTACTAGTGACAAAGAGAAACACAAGGAGCTAATTATTGATATTAGCACACAATTGTTATCCTACCAACCACCAGGTGTTAAGAGTAGTTGTTAGAAGAAGGTAGGGTGCCGGGAGACTCTGTGGGTGCTGGGAGAGACTGTGGGTGCCAGGAGTGGTTGTGGGTGCCAGGAAATACATGTACACTATACAAAATCAGTTGTAAGGTTTTTTGACTAGTCTAGTGCCAATAAGATACTACCTAGTAATTTGTTTCCCCACTTTGATGAACATGGGTAATGTATTGATAATAAATTAATAGATTTCCATAGGTGTAGGTTAACATTATATAAAATTACTATAGTATGCTATACTGTACTTCCATATTTATTTGGTACAAATTGGCTAAGTATATAATGAAATGAAAGTCTGTGGAAAAAATATATTTCTATGCTGGTATACAGTAAAGTTTGGAGTTTAGCTCGATGGTAAGCTTCTCAGGAAAGGTATTTATCTCATACGCTATCAAGGGATGCTTATGCTGTAATTAATTTGACTGAATATACCTCTCTCTTTATTTGTGATGCATTGTTTATACAGTACATATAATTTACCTATTTTGCATTTGTATTTTTTTGTCATTGGTTTACCGTGTTGTGGATGATGATGCAAGATGCTTTAGCTTGCTAAATATTCAAAAATGCTTTTAAGTTTTTTTGTCTGAACATGTATGCTGCTGTATGCTTTAGGCCTGTTGCCAGCCTGCTTTTATTTTCCCACAGGAACTTCTCAAAACATTGTATGTGGATCCAGAACTAGGATTCATCAAGGACACAGATGTCAACCCTCAAGGTGGGGACAGAAATGATACGTCATATGATTCTCGTAATGGTGTGAGGTGCATCAGAGTCAGTCCTGACGGCAAGCACCTGGCATCTGGAGATCGAGCAGGAAACATTAGGTAAGGGAAAATATTTGGTTAATGCATGGAATAATAATTTTGTATTTGGTTACTATTATGTGGTGTTTGTGTTTACCAGTATGTGGTGCAATTCGTCTGGGGACCCATCTTCCTGTGTCCCCTGTCCAGGGCACAGAAAGCAAAGACAGATTATTATTTCAGTTGCCGTTATAAGTCCTGTGGGTTGGCTCTCGAGCTCAGCGTTACTTTCTCGAAACTCGAGTGCAATATTGCTGTTTTATGTTATTCTTTTGGAAGTTTGATTTCCCCTGAAACAGTTCTTTTAACAAAGTGTTATAGAGATTTATGTAGACTAGTTTTAAATTGTATTGATATGCGTGAGAGAAAACTGTTAAAGGTGAATGTGAGCAAAAGGCAAGTTATGGTGGTGGAGGAAGTGTGAATTTATGTGTCTTAAATAAATGTGAATGATTAAATGCTACAAGTGGTTGCTTGAGGGATTTTGCACAAAATTAGAAGTAGGGAGAGTCATGGATGCAAACTAGCTGGTGATACGAAAGTCTTGATTAGAAAAAATACAGTATAGGAATTTATGCAGCGTAACCATGTGGTTACCTTACAGTGCCATGTGGTTACCTTACAGTGCCATGTGGTTACCTTGTGGTGAATTTGAGGATCAGTGTACCTGCAACCCAGTCTGTGGCAAGGCCTCCTAGTTAGTAATCTGATCAACCAGGCTGTTGGATGTGAATGCTTGTAACCCTGAGGTGGCTCATTAACTTAAAAATGTTTTGGAAAATAAAGTATATCTTTCAGTTTGTGAGCTATACTCTTGTGATGTACAGCATACAGTACATAAATACACAGAAGGTTTACATATGAAATAATGTGATGTACACTGCTGTAAAAAGTTACTTTTTTTTGCATTATTATTTAGAGAATTTGAATAGAATTCAGTGCTTGCCAAATTGTGAGGGAATGGAAGGGTCTCGTATACAGTGGTAATGGTGTTTTTACATAATGGGTAGCTATCAATATTACATTTTTCTTAATTGCTTTAGTTGTTTTAATTTTGCAGTATCTCTAAGAAAAAAAATCAGCCAATATAATTGTATATCTTTTTTTTTTTTGACAGAGTACATGAATTGCAATTTCTTGATGAGTTGTGTAAGATAGAAGCTCATGATGCAGAGGTGTTGAGTTTAGAATACTCCCGTCCTGACACCGGTCACAGGTTCCTGGCTTCGGCATCTCGTGATAGACTGATTCATGTGTTTGCAGTGGACCAGGTGAGAACTGTGTGAATGTTTTGTTTGGAATGAGTGTATTATGTATTCTTGATAAACTACAATACACTGTAAATTTTATAGGTATAGAATATTCATAAAGATAAAATAGTAATAATTAAAATAAAGTGGAGTCTTTCAAAAAGACAGATTTTTTACCAGGCCCTTTTTGGCAGAAAAAAAGACTTTCATTTCAACAGATCTTTCATGTTTTTTTTTTTTTTTTTTTTTTTTTGTCATTTTACACTAAAAATGTATTTTTGTTTATTTGTGCAAAATATACAAAATCTCTTTTGCTGTGCATATTTTGATGACAAAATCATTTGAAATTCCACGGGAAAACCGTGGAATTTTATATATTTTGAAAAAATATATAAAAAGTTTAGAATGCTGTGCAGTATATTTTACTATGGTGAATTTTGTAACTTACAGGATTACAGTTTTGTGCAAACTTTGGATGATCATTCTTCAGCCATAACATCAGTAAGATTTTACCAGAGCCAAGGTGCACTGCAGATGGTTTCCTGTAGTGCCGACCGCTCCATTATCTTCCGTAGTGCCACCATGGTAAGCATTCTCAAAAAACTTATTATACTAGTAGTCATTTATAACCCAAAAAATAATTTTATTTGAAATAATAGAGTAATTGTAGTTTTCAATACAGTGGAGGCTTGATTTAACAGATTTATTTCACAGACCCATTGCATCAGTGCAAAGTTTCTATTAAAGCTTTTGCCATTTGTCAGATTTCAGTGCAGATATGTTGGTGTTTTATTAATGTAAATGATAGAACACATCATGACATTTTTAAATGCATATTTATTATATAAACAGTTACAGTAAGTTTAATAAAAATATAATAAAAATATATTCTTAAAATATTTGATCAGCTTTATCCTGGTAAACCACTCGAAACCTACTTGATCTTACTAATCAACATTTGATCTATTGATCCATTGGTGTAAATTGTTTCCACCAGAAGTCTCTCCTGATTGTGAATTAAAGTGAAAGTGAATGAATGATTTGAAAGTTTAAAGTAGGGGCTATGATGGTGGTTGAGTGTGCTTGGACTAGCATACACTGACTGAACAGGTTGGAGCAGGAATAAACCCTATTTAAAAATGTGTTTAGGGTCACTGGATACATTTGATTACACTAAAGAAAAATACATACGGCCCATGGATCAGCAGACAATACAAGGATGCCAAAGCAGAAGTGTGAAGGCATGAATAAAGTATAGACAGCCAGGTACTGAAATAACCACAGGGTCACCGAGGGCTGCAATTAAATATGCTAGGATCAGAAGAGAAGCAGAGAGACAGGTTGGAAATAATAGTGGATATAGTCAAATATCATGGCTACTACAGAGCCATATCAGATGACAACAGTAAAAGACAGTTATTAGACTAAAAGAATGAATGCATGCTCACAGAATGTGACAGGGCATCTCCTACTGCAGAACTCAGTAGGAGATTGTTATGGTCAAATCAGAGTGGAGGGCTGGTACAGGTGGTGAGCCTTACAGGCTCTGGGTTGTTGGACTGTTAGCCCCGAGCCTCTTACATTGTGCCATGTGCTCTTGGTGCCCTTCCTGGGGTTTGGTTGTTCATTTCACAGATCTCTGCTGCTTATGGTAGTGTTTTTGCCATCCAGAGAGCTACTAAGTGGGTCTTTGTTAAAATCAAGCATTGAATAAAATTAAACGCCCCTTTTTCAGTAGGTCTCGCCTTGTCCCATACCTGTTTTTTCTTTCCCTTGGTGATTTTAAGTACTGGTAGCTCATGAGTGAGGCAGACCAGCACTCTGGCGTGATCTGTACTGCCTTCTGGTGGTGGCCAGTCAAGTTAGGATTAAGGTTGTTCACTAGTGGCAGTGATTTGATTACTCCTTTTTTTCTCATTTCCTTGTTTCAAGCAATAGCTTGTTTTGTTTTGGCTAAATTTCTGGTTGGTTTTCTCAGTTTTGGGTCGATGTGTGATGCTTAGGCTCCCCCCTTCACCCCATAGAGAGAGCTAGAATCTGTTCCTGGCTCCCAGGTGGTCAGTGTGGGTCTTGGAGGCCTGGTGCAATTCTGGAGACTTAGCTATACCAGGCCAGATGCACTGGGATGCTACTGAGAGGCTTGCTCGAGACATAGCATTTCATTACACACACAAATCACAATAGCGTGATGCATCAAATGAACAAATCCACAAGGGCCAAGAGGCTGCAGGGTCCAATTAAGGTGAGTAGAACTTCTGGTTGCAATTCTTTTAACCATGTCGTAGCGCAGTCGATTAAAGCAGCGTCCGGGATGCTCTCAGATGTAGGTTCGAACCCCTCATCACGGCCCTTGTGGATTTGTTCATGGCATTTCATTACATTCTGCACTTGACTTTTTTATTTTAAGAATTTTCTGTTTTAATTTTGCTTTGTACATATGTCTGGTTTCCTGCTTGATCGCTTCTATCATTTTTGGTAAAAGATAAGAAGATTAAAGATAAAAGGTAAAAGAAAATGCAGATTATTTGAGTCGGTTTTAACTGTTGTTAATGGATGTAGCCCACTCAGAAGTGGGCTACACTAGTGAATGGAAGGTGGTTAAGTGAATCGCTGGATGGATTATTTGTGTGTAATATCTTGAGTACAATATATACGTATGGAATAAGTTCAGATGACAACAGTAAAATAATGGGCTTTATCTATTATATCTGTTGCTACATGAGAGCTATCAGAGTTAGATTACATTGTTTCTAAATGTTGTATTTCCAGCGTTATCATCTTAATAGTATTTTAATTTCTCATTGGTAATTATATGATATCGAAACAACAGAAACAATGAAGTAATTGTCAAAATGCTTCAAAATAATCAGGAAATATTTCTGTTTAAATAAAATTGAAATCCATTTATCTTGGAACTCCATAACGATTTGTATGAATCCTTGCTTCCTTGATTATGAAAGTGTAGTGTTTTGTTGCACCCAATTATCTAATTTCTTCTTTTTCTCCTCCTGTCATCTCAGGGATCACTTAACAGAAAGATGGTAAATGTATCTCACCTGTTTCATGCTTGCCTTTCTTTTCTCACTTTGTGCATGATTAGTGGGAGAGTTTTGTGTAAGATGAACTTATATTGAAACTTCCAAAGGTTAATTGTGTGTAAGTGTGTAAGTTGGATGATGTGATGGTGCATTAGGTATATAATTGTTGTTAACACTATGCCTCGTGTAAATACATCTGTCTCTTGGCTTCCTGCTGGATGTGAATTATCAGACGCTCGTGGTTCCTCTGAGCTGTGAACCTCATTACTTTTGTTATACAGTAACAGGATTGGGGATGAGAAATGGCTTTGAAACGGGGTGTGATACCAAGCCCTTGGTTGTATTTTTGTTGCCATATATTTATACAGTCTGCTTCTCTGGCTTTTTATTAGACTAACTGCATTTTCTTACTGAATGGATTATTTTTATGGAAATAATGATCTTCAAGATATTTACAAAATATTATTTAGTGATATTTTAACTCTGTTAAATTATTTCCAGACTGCACAGAATGAAGTTTGGTTTTCCCGTGGCCACAATGTTGCTGGAAAAACTACTTTATATGATATGGAGGTTAGTAATCTCTTGAGTAGTGAAATAATATCATCACTATCAAAGTTTTATTTTTTTTATCTTATCATATTTGTTTTAAACTTTGATTCTAGCATTATGATAATCATAACAAAGTAATTCATTTTGTCAGGTGGACCATGGTCAGCGGCACGTCCTTACTGCATGTCAAGATCGTAATATTCGCGTGTATAATGTTAACACTGGCAAACACTCTAAAACCTTCAAAGGATCTATTGGTGATGACGGGACCCTGATAAAGGTAAGCAAAATGAAGCATGAGTTGTCCCATATCTAATTGTTTATGTAATTGTGTATACAAGGGAAGGGGGGGTTAAGTAGTGCAGTCTAGGTCTTAGGCCCAGTCTCTTGACTGGGCCTTGAGCTACCTGGTGCAATTATGCCTCCCGATGTTCTAATTCTCAAATGGATTTTTTGGACTGAGCAAAGATGAAAAAATTATTACTTATGTGAGGCCTAAATATGAATATGCAGTGGTGGTTTGAAGCACACATTGAAGAATATGTAACTATGCTAGAAAGAGTTCAAAGGCATTCAACAAAATGTATCCTGGAGCTCGGACAGTTGACCTAGGTGCCAGTAGTTGATATACTGGACGATTAAACCTCAATCAAAAAAAGGCCACTGTACTTCTTGATATGTCTTTGATATTGTGGCCTTTGACATTTGGACCACACTTGAAGGCTGAGAGTGCCTGCTAGTAAAGGCCATCATGAGCCAGGGTGAAGATCTCAGTCATGTGTATGGACCAATAAACAACAGAAGTACCCTAATTGTTTCCAGTCCTGTAAGACACCCCTGTAAGAAAGCCATAAATATATGTTAGATCTGACTTTGTTATGTATGGCGAGTTATTAGCTTATCCTGATTATGTATTCAGACATCACAAAAAATTATCCTAGTATCGAGAGTCCTTAAATAATAATGTCTAAAGTTTTATATATCTATGAAGAAAGGTTAGATTTCCTACAGGTCTTAAACTGAAAGGTAGAAGAAAACATGAGACTTACAAGATCTAGAAACATCAATGTAAAAATAAAAATAAAAAAATAAAAAAATAAAAATAAAAATAATTCTTTAATGATAGTAAGCAGTTGGGAGATTAAACAACATTTATGAGACATTTTTGTGCCATAAATACTACTAGCTTTATAACAAGGGTTCCATTCTGTCATAAATCATTCTTTTAAGGTTTTACTTTCATTTATTTTTGAACCACTATATTTTATTGGTGAATAACAACCAATTGCAGTACTTGTTTTGGCCTTTTGACCTCAAATTCACAAGCTAGTAACTCTACATAGCCAGATCAGAGCTAGCAAAACATCTGCACCTCGTATTGGGTGCTGGAAGATGTTTTGCATTTGCTTTATGTGATTATTTTGCAAATTATTAAGTCAACAAAAATTCAGAAAAATATTAAACTCAATATTGTTGTTGCAGGTTGTTCTCGATCAGAGTGGCATCTATGCAGCGACTAGTTGTACAGATAAGAATATGTGCATATATGATTATTATTCTGGGGAGTGTATGGCCACAATGTTTGGTCATTCTGAGCTAGTCACTGGACTACGCTTCACAAGCGACGGTAAACATCTCATCACTGTATCTGGAGATGGCTGCATCTTCTTGTGGAAGTAAGTTTTTAGTTTAAAGTTGGGGGTGTGTATGCTACAGGATCCCTCATATTCAATTATAGTTTTGATATTATCACTTTGTGGAAAATTTAAATTTGAACAAATAATTTTGCTACACTATATAGAATTTAGTCATTATGTTTAGCAGTAATTAATTTTGTTGGCAAATTATATGATGAATTAGTGTACCCATCTTGCTTATCATTGCAGTGCTGGCTTATGGCATTGTTAGGTATTCTGTGGACCAGCAGTGTTATACAATGCCAGTTCTTGTGTAAATATTTTCTTTCAACTATTTATGCATGTATAGACAAATAAAGTTTTGAAAGTTATTTGAATAAGGAACAATTCAGTAGATAACATTTATAATTTTCAGGATGCCTCACGACATGACCCAGACAATGACAGCAAGATTGGCCCAGCAAGCAGAAAGAGCTACTAAAGAAAAGCGAAAACCACAGAGACAGATTATTGACAATGAAGACTTCAGGCCTGCATCTGAGGATATCTTTGATCACAATGCTAATGAGGAGGAGGAGCCAGATTATAGGTATTTTGTTACTCCATTTTCTTGTTGAATAATTAGCCTTCAGCTCTTGTTAGTTTGAAATACATTTGTTTTAGTGATGTTTATAAGGTTTGAAGAAAAATATTCAGGCATAAATAAATATATAGTTTATCCAATGGTCGGGCCTCGTAGCCTGGTGGATAGCGCGCAGGACTCGTAATTCTGTGGCGCGGGTTCAATTCCCGCACGAGGCAGAAACAAATGGGCAAAGTTTCTTTCACCCTGAATGCCCCTGTTACCTAGCAGTAAATAGGTACCTGGGAGTTAGTAAGCTGTCACAGGCTGCTTCCTGAGGGTGGAGGCCTGGTCGAGGACCGGGCAGCGGGGACACTAAAAGCCCCGAAATCATCTCGAGATAACCTCAAGAAGATGGTTCATAACCCCCAATGTTTGGGCAGAATTCAGCTTAAGTGCGTTGAAATGCTTGTAGTATAAGATGAGGTCTATTTTTATGAAGTGGAGGATAGATAATAATAGATTTATGTATTTAAAGTATAGGGAGAGCAAAAAATATATTTTTCCTAATTTTTATGTGCAAAAATAATTAAATGTTGAATTTAGTACAGTACTTAATTAATAATTATTGTAAAAAAAACATTAGTTTCTTACACGAGGCAGATGTTGAGCTAAATTCATTATATCACAAGGTTCAGTGTGGGGAAGTTACCACTGTGGGCAAAGAAGCAAATGACAGAATCTCAAGGCCCTGGTGGCGGTGCTGGAGACAGAGCAGGAGTGGACATGCCTAAAGGTCGATGGGCTCAGCGCCTCCCAAACAATGCTATCACCTTCAAAAGCCATTATGATACTGATTCTGTTATACCATTTCCAGCAAGGGGTAAGTTGCTATTCTCATACTGGAAAGCCAAATGATAAGTATATTTAAATGAAGCAGCTTTAAAGAGTTCCTGCACAATTTATTGAATATGTACTTTCCTAGGAGTGTCTACTGGGAGTGAGATTTAACTCATTGGATTCCATTGCCTGGCTATTTTTCATTGTGCATTTTAATTCTGACATTTTAGTTTATTTTCATATTTACTCTCAAAGCTGTGGAAAGAGGTGGCTTGTGCTTCTTTTCACCTAATTTGAAGGACAAATGGTGTCTTAGTTTACTTATTCTGCTCTCCATTATATGGCATTTATACATCTTGAATGCCTTTTGTCATGTATTGCTCAATATGCTTATTTTGTCTAGGTCATATTAAAGGGCATGATGGATTGTAGTTTAGGTCTTCTATTTCTCCCTGTAGTGTAGAGTCATCCACAAACGTGTTCATATAACTGCATCTTTTCAGAAGATTATATATTTGTACAGTGAACATAACTGGTTGTTGTGCCAAGCCTTGTGGGACTCCACTAATGACATTCCTTCGGTTAGATTTGTTGACTTATATCAGTGTTTTCATTTTTCTATATTTTATGAAATTTTTCATAGTTAGTTTCTATAATAGTTTCTGCTTATTGTACTCTGCTTATTTTTTTTCTTGAGGTGTTTCCCAGTGACTCCGTGAAGCTATCTCACTGAGACTGCTACTAGCTACTAGGTTACAACAGTCATGGCAGTTCTGTTTGGCCACTGGTCTACTGGGGATCATACACAAGCGAATAGTCCCTACAAGATGAAGTCCAAAGATGGCTGGCCCTTAGCACATGGACCTACTGATACTGATGACATCTCAGGAGCAGTACAGTAGTGTTGAGGGCATCATATGAGTGACAGAACTAACCTGGGACTGTTGTCATTGGGAGGGCTGGGGCTCTTCGCCATCTGGTGGTGGTTATCTTTACTAACGAGTTCAAGATACTTTTGAATATTTTCATGGTTGTTGTGAATTATTTGGCAGTTTCATGGCTTCATTTTCCACAAACCTTGGAGTTGTCTGTATTGCATCGCTGACTTTCTGGATGCTTTCCCTCTGGGGTGACAGAATGTCACTTGATCTCTGCACCTCCGGGTGTGCCAGGTTCTGGCTCTGGTCTCCAGTAAACCAAACAGAGCTCCTACAACTAATGTGACCAAGTATCTAGTAGCAATCTCAGTGAGATAGCTTCAGGGAGCCACCAGAACTCGATCAGAAAAAGGCATTTCATTACCTCCAATACTGTACTACTTTTTTTCTATGATACTTGCAAACACTATTTTTCACCCCCTAATCTTTGGCATCATGCAATTCATTTTACCACATTCCAATGATCAACAACCATTTTAATGATTTACAGAGAAACGTCCGGCAGACTCCGAGTCTAGTAAAGACAGCTCATTAGATGACAGTGTGGGTGTCCACAAACAGTACAGTGGTGCACGCAGAGAGAATTTGATGCTAGCTAAACAGGTTAGTAGACAAAGAAAATCAATTTTAATTTAAACTTAAATATTTGCCTGCAATTGTATGAAGTTATTTATAACAGAAGGTATTTATAGTTTAGGATGTATTTCTTTTGTTTTTATAGTTTAGGATGAAATGGAAGTAGAGTGAGCAAAGGATAATGAACGAGTGTGTGATAGTAAATAAGGGAGAGTGAGTGTGTGATAGTAAACAAGGAAGCATGTGTGTGTGTAAAGTGTGTTAAGTGTATCTCTATACCACTGTATACTGTGTATATAGTTTTTCATATGCTTATGCTACAATTGTAAATATTTTTATTTTCTGTGCTAATGTTATATATTCTGTTAACTTTTATATATATTATATATGTATATATATAATAGTTTACTTATATAATATATAGATAGATAGTGTTTATGTATAATTACTTCAGTGTAGTTACCGGGTGAGAGCTACACTTACGGTGTTCCGTCTTCCAGTACTTTTTAACATAGGATGCTTTGAAACTACTGAAGGTTTTGGTATCCACCTCCTAATTTAATGTTACAACCATCTACCATTCTGTTTGCAAAAGAGAATGTTCTAATATTTTTTAGGCACCTTTGTTTCTTTAGCTTGAATCTATGGCTGCTTGTTCTTGAAGTTGCAGGTTTCAAGACTTTCTCTTTGTCAATTTTGTTGAGTCATGTTACTATTTTGTGTGTGTAATTATCATATCGCCTCTTTTTCTTCTTATCTTCTAGTTTTGACACTTTTAACACCTCTAGCCCCTTCTCGCAGTTCTTGTTTTCAGATTCAGAAGCCATTATGTAGCATACTTTGTACCTTTTCCAGTTTATTAATGTGTTTCTTGAGATACGGGCACCATACATACAATTGTTACATATTCCAATTTTGGTATCATAAAAGTCGTGAACAATTTCTTTTAACATTTACCAAGCCTTATGATTCTGAAGTTAAAAAGTGTAGTATGGGTTCCTCGAACAATGTCCTTTATGTGGTCCTATCGCGACGATTTTCTATCCAGAACCACTTCCAGATCTTTTTCTTTGTCCAAGTTCTTTAATTCCCTTTCACATAATTTGTAAGTTGTGTGTGGCCTATTTTCTCTTAATGCACAGTCCATAACGTGGCATTTATTCTTGAATTCCATCTGCCAAGTGTTGTTCCATACACTTATTTTGTCGTCCAAATCATCCTGAAGTGTATGACAATTGTCTTAGTGTCTTATAGTAGAAGCTTGACATCATCATCAGCAAACATGTTCATATAATTCTGTTTTTCCTCTGGTAGATCATTTATATAGACGATGAACATTACTGATGCTAGACTTGATAATGGTCCAGGATGGGCTGAAACATCGTAGTTTCTCCATCTTCCGATGTGTGGTATGGTCATCGTCCCTTGTCTCAAGCTTCTCTTGATGTCTTTTTGGTACCTCCTGATGAATTTGAGCCTCGCTTCCATGATACTCTGCTTCCTTTGAGTTTTGGTCTGCATTACCTTTTGACTATGTTCCATGTGACTCATTTGCAGTAGTAGTTTGATAGTTTTCAAGGCTTCATTTTACATAAAGTCTCCAGTTGTTTCTAAACCTGTGCTGACTTTCTGGAGGCTTGCAGACGAAGAGTCACAATTACGTGGCTGAAACATGTTGACCAAACAACACACTAGAAAGCGAAGGGACGACGACGTTTCGGTCCATTCTGGACCATTCTCAAGTCTTTCTGGAGGCTTTTTCTGGTGAGGTGGCAGATTGTCACCTGCTCTCTGTACCTCTCATGAGAGGGTACCAGGTTCTGGCTCTGGACCTCAGTAGACCAAATAGAACCACCGGTAATTGGTGTGACCTTTTTAGGATGAAGCTGAGGAAGTATTTAGTATGTATTTTCTCAGAAAGATAGCTTCAGGGAGACACTGGGACTCCTCCAGAAATTGGTATTTTATTATATTTAATGTTTTTTTTATTTTTATATTCTGCTCTTAAGTTCAACATTTTATCTAAAGGTTTGAGTCTGTCTCATTGATTTTTGACTTGCCAAGATTCTTGTATGCTTTTTAATTTTTGCACTAGTTTCTTTATATTTATAATAGACTAAAAAACTCTTAACTTCAAGTTTTTCTTTGTTTACCTGGCATTGAAGACCAGCAACTTCTTTTAATTGTAGTAATATACAATATCAATGCCTGGAACAGTAATATTGTTAATTTTTCCCTTCATGAATGATCAGAAATCTTCAAGTGTTGAGGTGCTATAAGACAGACAGACTATGACGTTGAGAGTCTTTAATGTTTATAGTTTTTCGAGTTCAACCTTTTCTATTTTTCTTCAGCTTGAATAGTATGTGTTTATCCATAAAATTAGTATATCAACTTTTTGTAATAGTGTTGCGTGCAGGCGATGAGTCACAATAACGTGGCTGAAGTATGTTGACCAGACCACACACTAGAAATTGAAGGGCCGACGACGTTTCGGTCCGTCCTGGACCATTCTCAAGTCGATTGTGATGAGGACAGGTAGGGACAGGCATTAAATAGGCAAGAGAGAGCTGAGGAGGAAAGTCAGGTGTAGGGGATAGTAGTAATGAGAACTGCAGCAGGCCTATTGGCCCATTCGAGGCAGCTCCTATTATAACCACCGAAGGAGATAGTAATAGGAATAAGAAGAGGATAGCAAGGGAGCGTAGAAGACAATGAACAGAAAAAGGGAGAAGAGAGAAAGAAAGGGAAAGAGAAAGAAAGAAATGGAAGGGGGAAAGCTTATGTTAAGTCACGTTTGTTAGAAAGATTAGAGCATTTGAGTATATACTGTGAAAGGGAAGAGTCCACAGCAACAAAGCCAGGACTCAAGTTCATGTTGGGTACTTTGTTAAAAAGAGCCGATTCTACAAGACGGCGTCTGTGTAGAGTAGAGGCAGGAAATTTTTTTTTTTTTTTTTTTTTTTTTTTTGAGGAAGACCAATCAATGGGATGATTAGAATCCCTCACATGGCAGACGAGAGCATTGTTAGTGTCTGCAGACATAACACTTCTCTTGTGTTTTTTAAGTCTGTCATTCAGTGTACGGCCAGTTTCGCCAAAGTATTGGAGAGGACAAGATGAACAGGAAATAGAGTAGACACCAGCAGCATTAGAAGCAGGAGGAGCAGTGTGAACTAGATTGCTACGAAGTGTGTTAGTTTGTCGAAAGGCGAGTTTAATGTCAAGAGGATGAAAGGTATTTCGTGACTTAAAGAACACAAGAGAAGTGTTATGTCTGCAGACACTAACAATGCTCTCTTCTGCCATGTGAGGGATTCTAATCATCCCATTGATTGGTCTTCCTCCAAAATAATCTTTCCTGCCTCTACTCTACACAGACGCCGTCTTGTAGAATCGGCTCTTATAAACAATGTACCCAACATGAACTTGAGTCCTGGCTTTGTTGCTGTGGACTCTTCCCTTTCACAGTATATACTCAAATGCTCTAATCTTTCTAACAAACGTGACTTAACATAAGCTTTCCCCCTTCCATTTCTTTCTTTCTCTTTCCCTTTCTTTCTCTCTCCTCCCTTTTTCTGTTCATTGTCTTCTACGCTCCCTTGCTATCCTCTTCTTATTCCTATTACTATCTCCTTCGGTGGTTATAATAGGAGCTGCCTCGTATGGGCCAATAGGCCTGCTGCAGTTCTCATTACTACTATCCCCTACACCTGACTTTCCTCCTCAGCTCTCTCTTGCCTATTTAATGCCTGTCCCTACCTGTCCTCATCACAATCGACTTGAGAATGGTCCAGGACGGACCGAAACGTCGTCGTCCCTTCAATTTCTAGTGTGTGGTCTGGTCAACAGTGTTGTGTGTTTGTGTATGTGCACGTTAACTCCTAAATGTGAGGTCGGAATTGTTTCTTTTCTCTTATGACACTTGCATCCCAACTTACAGAATTCGGGTGGCGATCCTGACTTTGTTCCTTGTCCAGACAGTTTAAAGGAAATTATTTCTGGGGCAGAAACTTTTCAGGTATTGATTTTTTACTTGATTTGTCAGTAATCAGAAAATTTTCTATTTAAGTGTAATTTATAGTTGTAAGTACATTAATCTATCTATATTTTCGGCTTACATTTGACTTCCTACAACTGCATTTTAGTAAACTTATTCTGGACTTGTATAAAATTGCTTTTGTATATACCTTGTGCTTTGAAAAGATCAAACTTTGGCTTTGATGTTTGTTGGTCTTAATTGTTTTATCTTCATTTTCACTGGCACTTGTTTTCCTTTGTTTATATTTATTATATTTATGGTTATAAGCAGTAATTGTTTAATTCAAATGTCTAATAACTACACCCATAATACAACAAACAAATTCTGCTTTTATTATCTATAGAATACACACTCTAAAGTTACTAAAAGAAGTTGTGAGCCAAATGGCCGAAACCGACACCACACTGATGAAAGTGATGCCAGTAGTTTACGAGTGGATGATGGTGCAACTGACCACGATGGAGACATTGAAGATTGCAGTGAACACGATGATGAAAGTACAGAACCTGAGCATTCAGAACACCTCATGTACTATCCTCATAATGATGACACAGCTAGGTAAGTGTGTTGGGATTCTGTTGGAAACCCAAGTTAACGGACCGAAACATTGTCACTTATTTCATTTTGCATGTGTGGTTTAGAATACAATGTTTGATTCAGTTGCATTATTGTGACATTTTCTCATAAAGTTAGTAATGTTATTTATGAATTTTAACTTTAGAATTTACTTCCATTGTGAGCAGGGTAGATTTTTTTTTCTTTTACATATACTTATTATTTACTGTACTGTACTGTAATGTTAATGAGTATTAAAGAGCATGTGCTATTCTCATGTTCATGTTCAACTCATGTTGACAGTAAACTGCTGTATTCTCCTCATGATTAATCTTTTATGTTGTCATTTGGCTGAACTTTACAAGTACGTTTATTTGCTCTATAATGCACATACATGTTTTTGACAGTTTTTCATTGTTAGCAGGAGTGCAAGAATTGTATCTATGAAACATTTTACTTTCCTTAACCATGCAGAAGTGAGAATTGTTCTTTTTTCCGATACTTGTTGAAAACTTCTTTCAAATACAGTATTGTATGTAATTCTTGTACTGTATTAACTTTTGCTTCCTTTTCTTAATGCAATACAATATATAATTTGATTCATATAGAACACGTGCACCTGTACCAAGCTTCCTTAGACATGCCCTGTGTCTATTCTGCTACTGCTTTACCTGCAGACATCACTGTCTGGAACCCATGGCATTCTTAGATTAAATGCTCTCCAGTGAATCTTTAGCACCATTGTAATAACTAAAAATCCCTGCAGGGATTGATTGAACAGTTTCCTGTGGCAGCAGCACATTTATGTTGTCCTACTTATCTGTTCTTGATCCTTTTCTTTTGAACACAACAGATTTTGTCACAATGCTGCTTTTTGTATAACTTGAATCCTTGTATTTACTCTATGCTGATTCTGTTTTGCAGTGACTTCACAGTAAATGCAATGGATGTAGAAGAGTTACGACGCTCTCAGCGCCGCCACAGAAAAGCTCGACCAGAGAGACCCACAGATATTCCATTATTAACAGTATCTGGCTCTCAAGATTCCGACGATGATGATGAGGTAATCTTTTATATGTTCGCTAAATTTGTTTTCATCATACTTCTCTGAAATTATCACTAAACAAATTGTTTATATTTTCTGTTGTAATTCAGTATATCATATCATATTCATAACACTACAGTACTTGCCTGCTTTGCTGAACAAGTATTTGGCATATCAGATGATGCTGATTTGCATATGGTCATACTTCCTAAAATATGATATATGGGGACTGGATCCTGAGAAATACTGGCTATGAGGATCAAATTTCTTTACAGTAAGGTTCTCCTGGTGGTTGTCCCATCATTTGACCTGTTGAATTAAAATTTCATTTAGTGAAATTTGCCAATAGAACATGAGAAATACTTGAGTATGAAAGGTACCTTTTAATATGGGTCCAATCATATTTCTAATGATAGTCATGTCAGTTAAAATTTTTGTAGATGAATTAAACAATAGAAGCAGCAGGCAAATCAATGTATATTTTTTGTGATAGAACAAAAATTGCATCATTTAAATTGCCTCTGAAAGTACAGGATGTCCTGTTGCAATGACTCTCTTGCTGCAACGAATCAGGCTTGGTCCCATGTAGTTTGCCAAATTGAGTGTGCACTTTACTGTCGAGTGAACAATACTCTGATTCCAATATTTAACCCTGTTTTAGAAGTCAAAACTTAGAGATAATGTAAAATAGGTATAGAGCATCGGCCTCACACATGTGGGGTCTGCGGTTCAAGTGTCTTAGAGCCCAGGTGATTAGAACTCGGAGAGATAATTCTTCTCATAGTCTCATTGCGTGCAAACGAAGTCATAATATTCACTCGATGTTGATCATCATAATCATATCATAAAGTAAGTCTGTTCAGTGGTCTATAGCACAGTGGTTACCGATTAGTAGATTAGTAACTGATTGGGTACTGATTACTCAAAAAACTGTATAGCTATTTTGCATAGCTAATCAGTTTTGAAATGATTACAAGCATCTTCTTGAGGTTATCTTGAGATGATTTCGAGGTTTAACGTCCCCACAGCCCGGTCCTCGACCAGGCCTCCTTTTTGTTACACACCCCCAGGAAGCAGCTCGTAGCAGCTGTCTAACTCCCAGGTACCTATTTACTGCTAGGTGAACATGAGCATTAGGGTGAAAGAAACTGCCCATTTGTTTCCGTCTCCACCGGGGATCAAACCCCGAACCTTAGGACTATGAATGCCGAGTGCTGGTCACTCAGCTGTCAGGCCCCTGTAGCATGATGACATACTTAGTTGGAAATGTTGAATATAGCCATGAGCGTGCTTTAGAAGAATTGGTACAGTATTTGGATTTTATAAATATAATGGATACAGTTCTCTAATGTAATCTTGAATACTACAACTCAGATAAAATAAGATCATGAGAATGTGGGGATTGAGAGTTGAGTGTGGGGTGAGGGCTCAGGGAGTGGGGAGTTGAGTGCTGGTGGGGAGAAGAGTTGAGTGTGTGTTCTGTGTGAAACGAGCTGAGAACTACTAATTGCAGTGTCAACAGGATAAGAAAATTCTGTGTTTTGTTCTGAGCCAAAGTTTGAACTATTACAGCTCTTTGGCTGCTACAACATTAACACACATACTGCTTGAGGCGTCCAGGGGGGGGTATAAATTCGATCCCATTCTTAAACCTCAATATTTTCTCATACAACACATGTGCTTGTGATTTCACTGTGCAGCCAGCTATATATTTAGATATCAGTATTAATTCCATATTAATGCATACTGTTAGCTTCAAATGAGTTATAAATAATATGACCCATTGTTACGGCCCTTTTGGGTCGCAACCGGGTTCTTTCTGATGTAAGTAGAGTTTGGGTATCCGGCCCCAAGCTAGTAGTGGCTTTCAAGGGGTGTGCTCCGTAACGCAAGTAAATTAAAGGGGAAGGGAGACAAAGGCAAAAACTTAATAATATAATTATCACCATCACCATAAATAATATATAGATTATCACACGGGGGAGGTATAAACACTATTATGTACAACGTAGTCTTCCTCTGAAGACTCTGGACGTTCATGGTGCTCAAGACGAGTGGTCCTGGTTCTCTTGTGGCCTCACGATGAATCCTTTGATTCCCTCGACGAGTCTACCCCGGCCACAGGCCAGCCAAATCACAGTCCCACTGGGTGCACCGTCGTGGAGGCCGTCAACCACGAATCCAGCCTATAGCCGGCAGGTTCCAATCAGCAACGCTGCGTAGGCCACTCCACGACCGATACTAGGGTTGCGAGCCCTAGGCAGGAGCCTCATATGATAACACAGATCACTCTCCTCACCACAACACCCCAGTGGTTAGTCTTCTCCACCAGTCAGTCCCGGGTATAACAATTCCTCAACTGCCACGTCACAGGCAGGCTAACACCACAGTGTTCATCCGGGGGGGGGGGGGGGGGGGTGACTCACAGCGGCTGCAGCAAACACGTGGAGTCTTTGGCTGCCTTGGGTAGACTGATCCAACGTTCATTACAGCAGTCCCAGGTCGACTCTGTAATCAGACACGTCATCAGTACTAGTTACACTCTAGGGCACCTCACTTACAGGCTTAGACTCAAACGCCCACCTATCCACTCCATAGATGGCGTTGCTGTCTAAGCGTCACCTCACCAGAGGTCAGCAGCGGCTGTGTTATGAGCTGATCAGGACGGGAAACTAGCCCTTGTGGCCAGTATATCTCGTCCTCACTAGATGGCGTCGTCCATTTGGAGGGGGTTTCGGGAGCTGACCCACAGATGGCGTGGTCGTCACTGCTCCGTGCTCGGACGCTGGGCTCGGGTCCGTAACACCCATAACCTTTCTCAATATTTAAAATTTGAGTTCTTATTTTAAAGCCTCAACATAAATTCTACTGATACCAATACCACAAAAATAGGCTCTATTAAAAATAGGCAAGAAAAAACTCTTCTGTTTTTAGTTTTCAAAAAAATGTAACCTGATTTTTTTGTAATATCTAAATTGCAACTTTTTCTTAATGCAGAATTTATGTTGTTTACGTCTTTGCAGGTTTCTACACCGAGTGCCGACACTGCTGAGCGTAACATTATGTCCATGTTAAGTGTAAGCACCGAGAGTATTGATCGTGTTGGCAGGCGAGAGAACTTTCTCAAGACTAATTATGAGTCATTAGAAGGAGAGGCTGCAAGACCCGAAAAAGAAGTAAAAAATAAAAATAGGTGAGGATCTTTTTGTAGGTTAATTTAGCTGCTGAGACAGTTATATATTTTACCAAGACGCTGGCTGGCTGGTTGGTGAACAAAGACATCTTACTGTCATGACACTGGCTTTCTCATTGGTGTGTTATAAAAGATAGTATTTGTATCATTATAAATGGTGACAGCAGTGGTAGTAGTTTTCCATGCATTTTCATGCATTATAAAACTGGCTGGAGTCAGGCAGGCTGGGGTCAGCCAGCCTGGTACTAACCAGGTTATTGGTACTAACAGGTTCGAGTTGGTTTTATGGGAATTGTTCGTAGAGTTGTTTGACGATTTTGGAACTTCTTTTTCTGTGAACTTTATAGTAGTCTGTAGAGCTTCATTGACTTTCTGAATGCTTTTCCTGGTGGGGTGGAGGAGTGTATTCACCTAGTTGTTCTTGATTATTAAATTTATTGACAATCTGTTAGCATATTGGCAAGAAGATTTTACCATAAAATGTTTCAGCACTTAGCAATTTGTTTCAGATATTGATGCATAGTTAATATTATGCACAAAGTGTGATCCAATTTTGATTGAATTTTCATTAAATTAATTTAAAGTATCTTCTTCAATGGTACTTTATCAACCAGAATTAGTCATTAATTTGCTCTGTATTCACAGGAAAGGATGTTTATATAATAAACACTTCAATATTAATTATCATTTTTTTTAAGTAATAATAATAATAATAATAATAATAATAATAATTTTTTTTTTTTTTTTGCAGTATATCTTATAAATTTAATTCAAGACACAAAGAGACACAAGTGTCAAACAAAAGAGAAGAGCTTTTGAAGAGAATTGAAGAAACAAGAAAGAAACTTCAAAGTGTGAGTGATGTGAAACTTGTACATAACTATAACTTTGATTCAATAGTGCTTTATTTGATAACATTGTAAATACTATATGCATAATAAATAACCTGTTTTACCCTTCATTCTTTTATCAGATTGGATATAAGTCTAACCTAAGAAATAGCAAGAGCATCTCGGACCTTAGCAACATCCCTGAGAAAGATACATCTTATATGTCTGGGAACCAAGGTAACAACCATCACTGTGATGATAACCTCTTCCATCATCTTGTCCCTACTGCCTCTCACATTCCTCTCACAGGCACCAACAATTTTCCTGAACTACTCACCAGCAGTGTCCCAACAATTGGTCCCGGTGTTGGTAATATTCCTGAATTAGTATCGGGCTGTCTTCCACGATATCCTACTGGCAGTATACCTGAGTTAGGGTCTAGTTGCCTTTCAGAGTATGGAAGGTTTGGTGCAGATACCAGAGTTGACAGTGTAGGAAAGATTAGTACAGCAGTATTTGATGGCAGTGCAGTGCCAAGAGATCAGCAGAGAACAGGTAAGCAACTACTAGCACAACTGGAAAGAGACCTGCAAGAGTTTGACCTTTTGATAGGATGCCCACCATCTCCACCTGAAGTTGATACAGATTCCTTGGAGGAGACACTCCGAAGTCTGGCCCTATTAAGTTCCCAGGAACCTTTTTCAAAACAAGTTCATCAGAATCGTCACAGAGGTGAGGATGACTCGGATAGTGACACTGTCAAGAGTGAGACGTCAAATTTTAGCTGCGATAGTTTAGAAGATGGAGAAAATGATGAAGAGGAGGAGGAGGAACCGGCAGTTCAGCCAGAAGCCGAGGACACTCCTCGTCACCGTATATTTGAAACGCCTAGAACTTTGCCACGCCCACGTCGTAAGAGGCAGAGATGGCAAAGACTCTCTCTTGAGGGTATAAGAAAGAACAGACTAAATGATTATGAATCTGATGTGTTTCCAACTAATGAAATGCCAACTAATTCTCACTCCCAAGTATTTAGGACGTCATCTGATACAGCACTAGCTAATAGTGACAGTAGCCACTCAGATGTGCAGACTCCTACAAACCCACCATATTTTTCTGTAAAGTCCCCAGGGCACACAACTAGTTCTAGATGTATGACACTTCCTGACACTACAAATGGCATTGTAAGTCAGCCTAAGGAGAGCCAAACTTTACAGAGAAATGACAGTAATAATGCTGTGTCTGCATATACTGTAGAAACACATTCATATCGTCTTGAACGCTCGACTCCTGTAACATTTTCAATACCTCAGTCCCCAGTAGTAGAACAGCTAAGAAGACAAGGTCGTGAATTATCACCACGAAGACAAGCTCACAAAAATCGGGTAATTCTTCCCCCAGCCAGTTTAGTTGATGCTGAGGACTTTCCTGTGGTGCAGGCTCAACCCCTTCCCCCAGGGCCTCCTCCAGCTGTCTACCTGCCTTCCTCCCCGCCTACACTTCCTCCAGGAGTTATTCCTGCTCCAGGCAGGGCCCATCGGGTTTTCTTGGCAAAGAAGGTCACCATACAGCAAGTACTTCCCTCGAAACGTAAGGGTTGGATATCTTGTTTCGCCTGGCTGCTGTTATGGCATGAGGAATGACATTACAGGTTCAGAGACTCCTGACCCCAACCCCCTCCTTATTTTTTCCCTTTATAATTTTTATCTTAATAATCTTATGTTTACCTTTCTGGGTTAGCCCCCTCAATAGCTCCCGGATGCTTAAGGCTCTAGTGCCACAGTGACTTCAAATGCTATCAGGCTTCTAGACTTGTACAGCCTACTGGAAATCAGGATCAAAATATGGTTTGCTCATAGAAGCAAGGGAAGAATAAGGCTTAAGATTGACCTAAAACAGAGGAAATCATCTGGTAAGTGATATGCAAAACAGCCTATTATTAATATGAATGGTAAGTTAAGAACCAAGGCAAATGATAGGTGGCAGCAGGTAAACAACCCTAGCACAATTTCACCCAACCAAAACCAGGTCACCACACATGGGTTTCATTTTCCCACAACTCTCGTAAATGTGCCTGGTGTTCACTTGCCCCTGCAGGAACCAGTCTCCCTTGTACTTTCAAAAAGGGGCTTTGTACATTATTTCTTATTTACACTTCATGAATTCATGTCCACCTTGCATATCCCTAGCCGATTATTCTAGTGTCAGGGTTATCCTTCCTGGTTTTGGCTTGTTTTTCTTTCTCCACCTGAGTTGTCTCCTCTGAGGGACTCTGGTATCATCCTCTCTGAGTTGACTCCTTTTGATTTGTCACAATGTCTGGGCAGTGCTTGGGAACTTGGTCACCGAAGTGAGGCCTGTTGGTGAAAGGTTGAGCAATTAGATGTGTTGTTGGTCACCTGGCCCCTGACTCGTTAATTTTTGTGGTGCCTTGTGCCTTCAGCCAGGTGTCTATGTTGCATTAAATGATTCTCTCTTGTTTGTTGCTTTGTGCACCTTCCCACATCACTTCACGGAAGGGTTTATGTTTCATTTCCAGACATTGTTTCTCTTTACACCTGTATCTAATCATTCTTTCTAACCAAGGTTGCCAGTTCTCATGCATTCAAGAGGTTTATCTCATTCCTCTATTGGGTGGAGACATGATGAATCCACCCAATTTAGTCAGGCTTTTCAGCTTTTTAGGGCAAATTGCCTGATTTTGCTTTTTAAAGACAGAACGGTCAAATTGCTAAAGAAAGAGGCAGATGATGAATAGTTCTGTGACCCATTTAGTGAAATGGTTTACAGAATGAATGTACAGAAATTTTACACGGGTCATGAGAATACTGTTGACTATGGAAGCATTGGTCAGCCACCAGACATCATCACCCAATCAGATGTTTTCGTAGCACTCCACACATCCACTTTGTCATTTAGACATGAAAGTAGCACTATTTGTATGATGGGGGACAATGGAGCTGGTTCGTATTGCAGATTTAGATGCAAAAATGGGGACTTGAAAGGTAGGTCATAGGATTTGGTGCTCGCAAGTCAGATACTTGTGTTGTTTGCATTGTTCCTAACTTTCCTTTCTAATTAAGAGCTGTGGATTGTTTTGTTTCTCCTGTAACTTTCTGAGTGAATCATCTGATTCTGGTTTCTGGTTGGCAATGCAATTCCAGGTGTCAAGTAGCATTTGGAAGACTCTATTGTACTAGAGCCTTAAGCACCAGGAAGCTGGTGAAGAATGCCCAGAAAGGGATGTTTAATTACATTCAATGCTTTATTTTTTCAGGAAATATTGTTTATTTTATAGTAGTTACTAATTATTTACATTTGCATGATACCAGAATTTGTTTAATTAATTAAAAAGGTATTTTATGCTTTTATGCTATATTTATAGCATAGCAATATAATAATTCTTTGCTAATTTAAAGATTTTGTCCTTGAGTTGCAATTTGTTTGCTAGTCCAATAGCTTGAATGTTTGGACACAGTTTTAGCTCTATGGATGACCAGTTACCAATTTTCTTGATTTTTAAGTTAAATTTTAATATGAGTGAAGCATGAAGCAGCATGAAAGCATCATTTGTGTAAGCAATACAGTAATTAATGTCTTGTCAGTATTACATTCAATGTTTTTTTTGTATTTTTATATATCTTTTAGATTATTGTGCACAGTTCTGTTTGTTCATAATTTGTTTGTGCATGTGTGTGTTGTGCTAGCACTGTTTGTTTGCATACAGTGTAATGCATGATGGATGGATTCAGGCTGAAATGTTTCAGCATAGTAAATGCTTTGTGAATAGAAAATTATCCTTTTGATTACCCATTTTTGGATTGTAGTTCACCAAAATATGAACTATTGAGAATGTATGGAGACAGTAATCATTAACTAGCTCATTGCTAGGGGTTCTTTTCATTGAACACTTCAATAATTAATGAATTCCTCCTTCATTAAACCATCTCTGTCCCTAGAATGTTATCTGAATCCACTCTTGTGCATGTGTGCTGTTGTTTGTAGATGGCGGGAGTGGCGACAGTGGGTTCAGCAGCAGTCCTGGTGGTGGCGGCAGTGGTGGGTTACGCCGCACGTGCTCGCTCAGTGACCTCACCATCCCAGGTGCCCCACGACGCCTACTGCCAACTCCCCCCTCGGGTATGCTTGCACCCGCACCACTATTGCTAATTGTTTGCCAGCCATGCTGCATTTGACTTAAACCCTTGCCACACTACTTTAAGGAGTGAACGCTACATTAACATGCACAAATTATTAATGAAGTTAAATTGTGCATTTTAAGGTACTCGACATAACCGTTTACACTCATTCCTTATAAATTAATCTTTCAAGTATATATTATTTTAATTGTTGTTATTTTGGTTTGGAACTGTTTTAAGTAATAAAAGGAACTATTTAATTTTGAGGGTTTATGTTAATTAATTAAAGGTTGTATGGTCAGCAGATTAGCTAGGAAGTGTTCCTGTATTGCCATAGTAGTGTTTTTGGGCTACTCACATTATAAACTACATTGAGACCAGACTATAATTTCATAAATTTTCTCAATGTGTTCGTGTTCAGAATTGTATGTATGTTCAGTTTGGTATTCGTGGAAATTGTTCATATAAGCATCCGCTTCCACTCCATTGGAACAAGTCCAGATTAACATTAAGTGCCTCTTTCTAAGCAGCCCTCAGTAGCTTTCCATCCTTACCCACTGACTTCCTTATTCTTTGTGGAGATTGAAAGTGCCTTTTTGGGCAGCACGTGAATGAAGTTGTTGTTTGGTCGAACCCATGGGTGAACTGGGCTGCCATCTGGTGGCAGCTAAGTGATTTGGAATGGAGACTGCTTAACTATAACACACTTTTGTTTGTTTTGTTACCTTTAATTTCCTCTCGATAATAGTTATTTGTTTTGCTTTGTCTGTTACCGAGTTGCCTAATTTTGATCAAATTTCTTCCGGTTCACCGAGTGTTTGATGTTTTTGCCAATTTTTTTGTTTTTCCTTCAAATACTAGAACAAAGCTTTGTGCAGCTTTACACTTCCAAATAATATATAAAAAAATGTATAATATTTTTAATATACTGGAAGATGAAACAAAAATAGTATACGTGCAAATAATTTTATCAGGAAATAGAACTTCAAGAAGTTTAAAGCAGCAAGTAGGCTACAAATAGATAGGAGGCACTGCCCAAGGAACAAGATTTTCCTCTGAGTAAATAGTGATTGGTATTCACAGAAACACATGCTGGGTCCATGACTTGTGTCTGTCAGTCACTCTGTCTCGTGTAATGTGTATGCAAGTGGTTATATCTGTCTTCATATATCTGGTTTTTGTCTGCATGTTGGCTGCATCTTTGTCTTTTTCTCTTTATTAGTTCTCTTTAAAAATATTGGAACTTGCAAATCTTCAGTGACTCAAGTTCCCTGTTACGTTACATATGATTAAAAAATATCATCTATTTCCCAGCTTCAAATTGGTGGTGTTGATTGATGGGCCTACAAACACACCCATGTACATACACGCAAACACAGTCATGCACAAAGGTAGGCAGCCAGGTAATCAATATCAAAATCAGTCAAGCCTGGCCCTGGGCCAGGCTTGAGGAGTAGTACTACTCCTAGAACCCCATCCAGGTACCATCCAGGTACAAATCAGTGAGATAGATAAGACACTGCTGCAGTGTTAGCATAAACAGACAAGCAGAAAAGCACAAATAGATGAGGACAGATGCTAAAAAGCAATCTTGCTCTGTAGACACTGATAAGTAAACATTTTCTTCTCATATTCTTTGATCAATTAATGACTTTGGCCCTAGGAAAACAGTGGTGTACTTGCCTACATGTACTAAAATTATCTAACAATCCTGTCTTATCCGTGTTTATATGTAATTTACCTTTAGTGTCTATTGAGCCATTAACCAGACATCCAGCCATTCTTATCTAATTTTGATTTGCCACCCTTGACTGACGGAATGAATTTGTGCTGATGGAATTGTATATGAATACTCATTCCCAGACCCAATCCACCTTGCCTCCGCACTTGACCCCTACATTCACCCACCATCTATCCCTCTGCACCTGACCCCTACATCCACCCACCATCTATCCCTCTGCACCGACCCCTACATTCACCCAGCATCTATCTCTTCCCACCTGACCTTTACACTCGTCTCTCCATGTATCCCAAACCTCACTTCACCCTTCCTCTCTCCCATACCATTCCATATCACACGATTCTCCATCTCTCTCTGACCTCCACTCCGCTCCCCTACCCCCTCTTATTCCCTCGGGAGGGATAGGAGGGGAGGGATCACAACCCTACTTCCTTCTCCTCCCCCCCCCCCCAATACTCACACAACTCGACAAAACTGTCCTCTCGCTCTCTTCCCCCTCTCCCCTCCCATTGCCCCACCACAGTCTCTCTCTCTCTCTCTCTCTCTCTCTCTCTCCCTTGCCTCCACCCCTCCCAGTCCCACTAAGCGATGTGGTGTTTCAAAACTTAGTTGAAGCAAATTCTCACTGTATTCCTAATCAGTTTCTCTGATCCTCAAAAGCAAATTCTCACTGTATTCCTGGTCAGTTTTTCTGATCCTCAGACTCGTCTAGCTTCAATTAGTGGATTAGATTTTGATCTTTTGTCTCTTGTAGGCCTGTGCAAGTCCAGAGGCCTGGTAGCAGTTGTAAGTCTCTTGAGGTATTGTACAGTTATTGAGGAGCTACTGAGGGCTTCCCAGAAAGAGGCATTTCATCATATTCAGTGCTAGACTTATCAAATGAGTTTGTCACTACCAAGACGACTCAAGTATCTGACAGTATGAAGGTTTCCAGGTTATTCGAGATATAATCTGTGCTTGATTTCAATTTATCAGATCTGAGCCCAACAATTGTAGTTATGAATCTGATTTTTTTTCCCCCTGGTTAGTCCGAAATTTCTATAAATAGGGTCCGATTAATTGGATCCCACGATATTGTTTAAGTTGGAAGAGTTCTTCTATGAATATGAAGTAACATTTAATCAAATTTGCCATTTGCAGTACAGTATATTCCTAGTAAAAATTTAATGATTAATTCATAGTTTCATTATGCTTCATTACAAACCAGTATTAATACCTGTGTGTAATTAAGCAATATAGTACAGTAGTGCAATAGTTATTAATCATGCCATTTCTACATTGATATTTTTGTTTTAGATTATATTAAATAAGAATACATAACCCAAGATATTCTCTTGGGTTATAACAAGCTATATATTTCTCTCTTCTTTGTTGAACATTATAGTTAACAGTATTACTTTATTAGCAAATTTATTACAGAATAGTGCCTGAGAAGTTAGCTCCAGCTAAAGATTAATGCGATTCAACTCATTCATAACGATTGATTAAATGTTGATGTAGGCAAGACAGTTGTCTTAGGAGGAGATTAGTGCACCCTGACACATCTTTATTCAATATTTGGCCCAGCTTATTATTTTCTATGCCTGTTTTTATAAGAGTTGGCTAAAAATGATAGGGGTGTGTGGTAAGGAATTTGAGTACTAATGCCATTACAGACGTGTAGGACAGTGTGATGAAGACCAGCACTATAGTCGTGGTGGTTGCTTGCTTCTCACCTTTATTATTAGTTTTAGTAAATTGTCTTGTGCAGTATTTAATATTTTTCAGGTAAATTAGTTATTAATGCCTAACTACTTGACTATGGAATTTTGAATGTCTTTAAGGGCATCCATTTGTTTATTATTTAACTAATTCCCTCAGAGTATTTTAGAATCATAACCAGTCCGTGCTGTGTCTAATTTTTATCTGTAAAAGTAATTAAACAAAGCCTGCAAAATATATGTGTAGTAATATTTGTGAATAGGTCATATGTGACCAGGAACCTGTAGTAAAAGACTGTTCATTGATGTAATACTATTAGGGAGATTGTGTATTCTTAAGAGCTACAGATATCCATGTTCTATTATTTTGAAGACACTGTATATAAATTAGTTTGCTCAAACATTTAAGTGCTTTTTTTTTTTAAACAATTTCACTTAATTTTACATTTGTATGATATGTTCTAAACCTTATGTTTACAGCTGGTGGAAAGAAAATGGGTTCCAAAACTAGTAGTAAATCCCCTGGGCGATCATACTCCTCATTGTCGCGTTCTAGCTCCATTGGCGTTCTTAACCAGGTGAGTTTTTCTCCATAAATATTTTGTAGGTGCATATTTTTGGTTGGAAGTAAAATTAATCTGATATTCCAAACTTAAATAAAAGCTTTAAGAAATTATTCATTTTTATTTCTTCTCTGTTTTATGTGCATTTAATTTTTTCTGAGCAATTTCACTTGGATACTTCGTGAAGCAAGCTTATTGAATGTCCCACTGAATAATAGGTTTGATACAGCAGGGGTGGCTGGTATTTTGCATCAGTGCAGCAGATATCTTTTCATGTAACATTACCATGTACAGCAGCATAGTACAACATTATCATGTACAGCAGCATAGTACAACATTACCATGTACAGCAGCATAGTACAACATTATCATGTACAGCAGCATAGTACAACATTACCATGTACAGCAGCATAGTACAACATTATCATGTACAGCAGCATAGTACAACATTATCATGTACAGCAGCATAGTACAACATTACCATGTACAGCAGCATAGTACAACATTACCATGTACAGCAGCATAGTACAACATTATCATGTACAGCAGCATAGTACAACATTACCATGTACAGCAGCATAGTACAACATTACCATGTACAGCAGCATAGTACAACATTACCATGTACAGCAGCATAGTACAACATTACCATGTACAGCAGCATAGTACAACATTACCATGTACAGCAGCATAGTACAACATTACCATGTACAGCAGCATAGTACAACATTACCATGTACAGCAGCATAGTACAACATTACCATGTACAGCAGCATAGGACAACATTACCATGTACAGCAGCATAGTACAACATTACCATGTACAGCAGCATAGTACAACATTACCATGTACAGCAGCATAGTACAACATTACCATGTACAGCAGCATAGTACAACATTAACATGTACAGCAGCATAGTACAACATTACCATGTACAGCAGCATAGTACAACATTACCATGTACAGCAGCATAGTACAACATTACCTTGTTGCCCTAATCAGAAGAAATGAACAACAATGGTGCAGAGGCAGATACTGCAGAAAATGAAATGATAGTACAAGAACAAGGAAAGGAAAACAAAATTGTCAGGAACATAATAGATTTTCATAATAGATCATAATAGATGTTCATTTAACTGTTTCAGGCCTAAATTAAACATGCATATGAATGAGTTTCATTGGATATAAATAGAAGCTATTGTATAGGCCAATAGGCCTACAGTTTCTTCTATTCTTATTTTCTTATGTTTCCCTTTGTGGTTAATTGTTGGTTATTTATATTGCTCATTGCTGATCTATGATATCAACTTTATAACACATTTGCTCTTAAACTTGTGAAATTAATTGTTAGCATGTAATTATTTATTCCAGACCGGTGAAGATATTTCAAGAAGTGAACGTCCAATGCGCCCTACAATAGCATCAATGAACAAAATGACTCCGCGTGCCCTGAAAAGGAAGGCATCTCTCTCTCAGGCAGTTTCCACAGGTAAAGTAGGACATGGGAAAATCACAATTCTATTGTCTACTTTGTGCTTAAACAACATGCTTGAGTTTATCCTATGTTCAATATAACTAATGTTATTGTGAACATAATATTAGATGTTATATTCATTTGTTTTTGTACGTATCAAACATATATTGGTATTACTTTAAAATTTGATTTGGAAACTATCTTCTCTGGTCAGGTGATATTCGACAGTTCCCTGAAGATTCCAGCTCAGAGGATGCTTCTCCATCGGATCATAAAAATACACGCAGTCGCACTCATGGTGGTGACAGGTTAGCATTATGGATTCAAATTTATATTGATGTTAATCCACTTATTCAAATTAATCCCCCAAATCAAATTTCACAAAGGGGAACAATGACCTTGGATCGTAATTAATAATACACTCGGTAGCATGAAATATGTGGTCCTCAGTTTGAGACTCTTTGTAACATTTTCAATTTCATTTAGTAATTTCAAAGCATTTTGAATATTGTCTTTGCATGAATATGCAAAGATGCTCCAATTCTAAGCTACATGAGAAGCCCTTAACATGTTTCATTAAAAAATGCTTGGCCCTTGATCTAAGCAACACCCACTAGTATGGCCTTCACTTTAACCCTTAATGTGCGGCTATTGAAAAATGGTCATTCCTGCCAATGCAATAATAATAATAATAATAATAAAAAATTACAAAATATTTACTTTTCTTATAGAATTATTCATTTGTATGTAAAATGTTAGAAAAACTTAAAAAATGTAAATATGTACATACTGTACATGTATGTATGTATATGTGTATATACATACATAGTATGTATGTATGTATATGTGTAATACATACGTACATAGTATGTATGTATGTATATGTGTATATACATACAGAGCTTACCTTGTATGAGGCAGCTCCTATATATATATTTATATATATATATATATATATATATATATATATTATTAAATATGACCGAAAAAGTAAGATTAATAATTCTAACACGAATTTTCTCAATCTTTCGTACATTACGCTTCACTGTTGGAGGTAAATCAAAAATTACTTCTCCAAAATTCATTTTTATTTCTAGTCTGACGCGACACGGGCGCGTTTCGTAAAACTTATTACATTTTCAAAGACTTCACAAATACACAACTGATTAGAACTTACGTCTCTCTGATATTATATCTACATTTGAGTGAGGTGGGAAGGATGATGTGGCATTAACACAAGACAGAACAGGGGATATTAATAGGGTATTAAAAGTATCAACACAAGACAGAACAGAAACAATGGGTATTGAATAGAAGTGTTTGTAGAAAGCCTATTGGTCCATATTTCTTGATGCTTCTATATTGGAGCGGAGTCTTGAGGTGGGTAGAATATAGTTGTGCAATAATTGGCTGTTGATTGCTGGTGTTGACTTCTTGATGTGTAGTGCCTCGCAAACGTCAAGCCGCCTGCTATCGCTGTATCTATCGATGATTTCTGTGTTGTTTACTAGGATTTCTCTGGCGATGGTTTGGTTATGGGAAGAGATTATATGTTCCTTAATGGAGCCCTGTTGCTTATGCATCGTTAAACGCCTAGAAAGAGATGTTGTTGTCTTGCCTATATACTGGGTTTTTTGGAGCTTACAGTCCCCAAGTGGGCATTTGAAGGCATAGACGACGTTAGTCTCTTTTAAAGCGTTCTGTTTTGTGTCTGGAGAGTTTCTCATGAGTAGGCTGGCCGTTTTTCTGGTTTTATAGGTTTTATATAAACGGCCAGCCTACTCATGAGAAACTCTCCAGACACAAAACAGAACGCTTTAAAAGAGACTAACGTCGTCTATGCCTTCAAATGCCCACTTGGGGACTGTAAGCTCCAAAAAACCCAGTATATAGGCAAGACAACAACATCTCTTTCTAGGCGTTTAACGATGCATAAGCAACAGGGCTCCATTAAGGAACATATAATCTCTTCCCATAACCAAACCATCGCCAGAGAAATCCTAGTAAACAACACAGAAATCATCGATAGATACAGCGATAGCAGGCGGCTTGACGTTTGCGAGGCACTACACATCAAGAAGTCAACACCAGCAATCAACAGCCAATTATTGCACAACTATATTCTACCCACCTCAAGACTCCGCTCCAATATAGAAGCATCAAGAAATATGGACCAATAGGCTTTCTACAAACACTTCTATTCAATACCCATTGTTTCTGTTCTGTCTTGTGTTGATACTTTTAATACCCTATTAATATCCCCTGTTCTGTCTTGTGTTAATGCCACATCATCCTTCCCACCTCACTCAAATGTAGATATAATATCAGAGAGACGTAAGTTCTAATCAGTTGTGTATTTGTGAAGTCTTTGAAAATGTAATAAGTTTTACGAAACGCGCCCGTGTCGCGTCAGACTAGAAATAAAAATGAATTTTGGAGAAGTAATTTTTGATTTACCTCCAACAGTGAAGCGTAATGTACGAAAGATTGAGAAAATTCGTGTTAGAATTATTAATCTTACTTTTTCGGTCATATTTAATAATATATGTCTACAGGAAAGACTGCTACCAAAATATACTATATATATATATATATATATATATATATATATATATATATATATATATCGTCAAGCCACTGTCAATGTGAGAGAACTCGTGTCCAGCTTATAAGCCTATACTTGCATAAACCACAAGTGAAGATAAACAATCTTTGGACAACACCCACCAGTGGGACTCGAACCCAGAAAGCACAACTACCTTCCAGTAGCTGGCATAACTAGTATGCTTTAACCCACTACGCCATCAGACCTTACAAAAGAAGTAGATAGTTCGAGATATATATATCTCAAACATCTCTACCTCCCGAAGGCACCAGATGAGTGAGGGGTCAGTCTGCAATTTTCGTCAAGCCACTGTCAATGTGAGAGAACTCGTGTCCAGCTTATAAGCCTATACTTGCATAAACCACAAGTGAAGATAAACAATCTTTGGACAACACCCACCAGTGGGACTCGAACCCAGAAAGCACAACTACCTTCCAGTAGCTGGCATAACTAGTATGCTTTAACCCACTACGCCATCAGACCTTACAAAAGAAGTAGATAGTTCGAGATATATATATCTCAAACATCTCTACCTCCCGAAGGCACCAGATGAGTGAGGGGTCAGTCTGCAATTTTCGTCAAGCCACTGTCAATGTGAGAGAACTCGTGTCCAGCTTATAAGCCTATACTTGCATAAACCACAAGTGAAGATAAACAATCTTTGGACAACACCCACCAGTGGGACTCGAACCCAGAAAGCACAACTACCTTCCAGTAGCTGGCATAACTAGTATGCTTTAACCCACTACGCCATCAGACCTTACAAAAGAAGTAGATAGTTCGAGATATATATATCTCAAACATCTCTACCTCCCGAAGGCACCAGATGAGTGAGGGGTCAGTCTGCAATTTTCGTCAAGCCACTGTCAATGTGAGAGAACTCGTGTCCAGCTTATAAGCCTATACTTGCATAAACCACAAGTGAAGATAAACAATCTTTGGACAACACCCACCAGTGGGACTCGAACCCAGAAAGCACAACTACCTTCCAGTAGCTGGCATAACTAGTATGCTTTAACCCACTACGCCATCAGACCTTACAAAAGAAGTAGATAGTTCGAGATATATATATCTCAAACATCTCTACCTCCCGAAGGCACCAGATGAGTGAGGGGTCAGTCTGCAATTTTCGTCAAGCCACTGTCAATGTGAGAGAACTCGTGTCCAGCTTATAAGCCTATACTTGCATAAACCACAAGTGAAGATAAACAATCTTTGGACAACACCCACCAGTGGGACTCGAACCCAGAAAGCACAACTACCTTCCAGTAGCTGGCATAACTAGTATGCTTTAACCCACTACGCCATCAGACCTTACAAAAGAAGTAGATAGTTCGAGATATATATATCTCAAACATCTCTACCTCCCGAAGGCACCAGATGAGTGAGGGGTCAGTCTGCAATTTTCGTCAAGCCACTGTCAATGTGAGAGAACTCGTGTCCAGCTTATAAGCCTATACTTGCATAAACCACAAGTGAAGATAAACAATCTTTGGACAACACCCACCAGTGGGACTCGAACCCAGAAAGCACAACTACCTTCCAGTAGCTGGCATAACTAGTATGCTTTAACCCACTACGCCATCAGACCTTACAAAAGAAGTAGATAGTTCGAGATATATATATCTCAAACATCTCTACCTCCCGAAGGCACCAGATGAGTGAGGGGTCAGTCTGCAATTTTCGTCAAGCCACTGTCAATGTGAGAGAACTCGTGTCCAGCTTATAAGCCTATACTTGCATAAACCACAAGTGAAGATAAACAATCTTTGGACAACACCCACCAGTGGGACTCGAACCCAGAAAGCACAACTACCTTCCAGTAGCTGGCATAACTAGTATGCTTTAACCCACTACGCCATCAGACCTTACAAAAGAAGTAGATAGTTCGAGATATATATATCTCAAACATCTCTACCTCCCGAAGGCACCAGATGAGTGAGGGGTCAGTCTGCAATTTTCGTCAAGCCACTGTCAATGTGAGAGAACTCGTGTCCAGCTTATAAGCCTATACTTGCATAAACCACAAGTGAAGATAAACAATCTTTGGACAACACCCACCAGTGGGACTCGAACCCAGAAAGCACAACTACCTTCCAGTAGCTGGCATAACTAGTATGCTTTAACCCACTACGCCATCAGACCTTACAAAAGAAGTAGATAGTTCGAGATATATATATCTCAAACATCTCTACCTCCCGAAGGCACCAGATGAGTGAGGGGTCAGTCTGCAATTTTCGTCAAGCCACTGTCAATGTGAGAGAACTCGTGTCCAGCTTATAAGCCTATACTTGCATAAACCACAAGTGAAGATAAACAATCTTTGGACAACACCCACCAGTGGGACTCGAACCCAGAAAGCACAACTACCTTCCAGTAGCTGGCATAACTAGTATGCTTTAACCCACTACGCCATCAGACCTTACAAAAGAAGTAGATAGTTCGAGATATATATATCTCAAACATCTCTACCTCCCGAAGGCACCAGATGAGTGAGGGGTCAGTCTGCAATTTTCGTCAAGCCACTGTCAATGTGAGAGAACTCGTGTCCAGCTTATAAGCCTATACTTGCATAAACCACAAGTGAAGATAAACAATCTTTGGACAACACCCACCAGTGGGACTCGAACCCAGAAAGCACAACTACCTTCCAGTAGCTGGCATAACTAGTATGCTTTAACCCACTACGCCATCAGACCTTAC